ACTGGATCATTAATAGTTAAACATATATCATTTTGTTGATTATCTTGTCTAGACAAGAACAAAAATAATTAAGAATATTTATAGATTTATTTATTTTTTTTTTTCAATATTTTACTTTTTTTCAAGATCAATACAATTATTTCGTTGAGTTGTAACTAATAGATGATTAGCAATTTTTTTTATAAATGAATTTTCAATTTTATTTTTATTTGATATTATATCTAAAGATGCATTTATTGTTGTTGTTGTTGTTGATTTGGGTTTTTTTGTTGTTGATGCAGTCGATTTTTTATTTGTTGAAGTATTTTCATTATTTGTTGTTGATTCATCATTTGAACCAATTTTATATACATAACAGGTTGGATAGAACATTCGAGCATTACCTTTCAAAATAAAAACAATATTTTTTTCTTCTTCTGTTTATATACATGAGGAAATTATTTTTCAAAAGTAGCTGTCAAACTGTTAGATTATCAATTATAGAGATTCCGCATATGGACGTATAAGTGACTTCGATCTTGAAGTTCCGTAGAGTTTCATGAAGTCATTGGACGTCTCGTAACGTTTTGAAAACTGCTTCTTCCTCGTCTATAGACTGCCCACGGAAATATTTTTTAGAGAAAATCACAGTTTACTTTGTTCCTTCCCATAGGGTTAATTTCTTTTTATGCGATAGAGGAAAGTTTAGAGTTTTTCTTTTGTTTGCTAATAAAAATAACATTAATAAATGTTGCTTTGAAGGATTATCATTGGTTTCTATAATGAATTTCTATTTTTTACAATGTTGAAGATGGCTTCATTAAACTTAACTGTGCATACATTCGTTCTTCGCTTTTTTGTTTCGTTGTCCGATGCGCGGTTACTTTTTTTGTCTCGTCAAAGATGAAGATATACTATCTGTTCTAAATTACAATGAATTGACAGCAAGAAATACTTTAGCTATCCTTGCTGGTGCACGTTTTTATAGAGATTTCGAAAAAATATACTTCGTACCTTGAAGTATACTCTATGACCTGTAAGGTCATAAAGTTTTTATGGAAAAAAATCAAAAGTTTCCTTTGTTATAGAAAAACCAACTAGTTCTATTATGTGGAATAATGTAAAGATAATCAATTTTTTACTGTAAAGCTATTTATGGACTACACTGTAGAACAGGGTTTTTCCAGTTGAATAAATCGTTCTAGAAAATATTTTTTTGACCTATAAGCATTATAGAGCATATTGAAATAACTTTTAATAATTTCTAACTCTTTTTTGTTTGTTTTAGTAAAAAAGATAGCAATTTAAATACCAATATACAGTGAGCAATTTCTACAGAGAACGTGACTCGGACTTATTTTCTCTCAAAGTTCGATTCTTCTATAGAGATTTGATATTAACCTCTACTAATTTGAAAAAATATTTTCAATAGAAAATCATTGAGGAGACTCTTAAAACTCTGTGAAAATAGTTTTTACTTACAAAAATAACAAACTTAGCATGGTAAGATACAAGTTTTTATGCTTCTTCCGAATATGTTATCAATCTTCTTTAAAAGTATATTGCAAGTCAAAAAAAACCATGAAAATATTTTAAATCAGTCTAGAAGTATTTACTCATTGTTATACTAACTGAACACATCTGACGGATAGAGAAAAAACGTTCTGTGAAAGTTTCATATAGTTGGAAACTGTGATAAAATGTGCGTACGAACAATATTGGACGCGTGATTTTTTTTGTAAGATCCTTAGTTGGCAAAGAATAATTACTTTTTCTACCAAGAAAAATGTTAAAATCTAGAGCAAGAGCTTTATTTTCACAATCTATATAATTTATTCCTTAGAATCTTTGTTTGGAAAAAGATATTTTTATCTACGATAATAGAACTTCCGCCATTTTATTGAATGTAGGACTTTTCTAATGTCTTAAATAGCTAGAATAAATTGTTTATCAAAAAAAAAAAAAGAAGTCATTAGCCAAAGCCTATTGAACATTACTCAAATCACGAAAAATATCTCTTTTATCTTTTGACCAAATATTCACATTACTGCACATTTGAATGTGAAAATATCAAAGTTTATATGATTCTATTTCAAGTTCATTTATGTAAAACACAGAAAATGACGTTTTTTAATAAACAATTCGGTATGTTCACTTGGGAAACGATTCTATCATAATTGTAGGAAATTACAATATCAATATACCTGTTGTAACTTCAACAAAATCAGGTAAACCATCTAAATATCGAATTGGATAACTTTTTTCCCAACTTTCACGACAAGAATTCGTATCTATTTCTCTACTAACATGACCAATAAGCATTCCATTAATACCATATGGTGCCAAAATGACTATACAATAAATTATTTTAAAATTTAAAAAGAAAACAATATAAATTATATCGAGTACCATTTGATGGTGAAGTTCGTTCAAGATCTTTACTTGTTAAATTAAATATATGTTCATGACGTTGAACGTCAACACTAGCACATACTTTATTATCACCATGAAGAAAAAAATTAAAATTAAAAGAGTAATTAGGTCTAAATTAAATAAACAAAAAAAAATTTCTTTTTAAATCATCTATTTGAATATCAACTTCCTACATACACTTTAACATCGGAATGATCATTAACTGGTAAAACAAACCATTTATTCAGACGAGCAAAACCTTTTGATAATAAATATCTAATAGAAAAGCAAAAATTTTCCTTCAAAATCTAATCATTAAATATTCTATCTTACTTTTCAATCATATTATGTAATGCTTTAAATAACATTGATCTACAATCATATGACATTGCACTTTCATTCCATGATCCATGTGCTTGATTAATTGCTACAAAAATAAGAACAAAAATAATATTTCGAAAATTTTCATGGAAATTTTTACGTCTTAAATTAAGTAAATCTGAAGGAAGATCTTCATTAATACCAAATAACCAAAGTTCTCTCTCAGTTTTTTGTCCATCATCTGTTGGTACACGTCTCCATGAACATAATATATCCGCATGTAATGCACTCCAATAGGCAATTAAAACTGGATCTTTATAATTATCAATTCGACCTAATTGATTAGTTTCTAAACGATAATTTATTGCTCGACGAAAACATTTCCATTTCATATCATTCAAACTTTGCTAAAAAATAATTAAATAAAAATTATAGTTTATATTTATGATGAGGTAATTACCAAAGCAAATAAATTTGTATGACAATGTTCAAGACTACAAGGTGTGTTCATTATTCTTTTGTTATTTTAAATAAATAATAAACAGGTTTTTGATGGGATCATAATGATGAAGAATTCAATGTTGACTATAGATTTGACTTAAAAAATAAACGAACATTTAAAGACAATAACAGCTGTTTGATATATATGATGATAGAGAAAAAAAAACAACAACAACATATAGTCAATAATATAGAGAAAAAAATAAATGAAAGTAATTGATTATTACGCTACGAGATTAGTTCTTAATAAATTTTCATTAGGGAGGATATATGATAATGAATAATTGGTGGAAAAAATGAAGCAATAGAATTAATGTATTTTTTTTGTTCTTATATTATATGATTCTTCGAAAAGAAAATTATTCATAGTTTTAAGTAAGATTATATTTTTCAATTTTTGATTTATTTCAATAATAAATCAATTTGAGAAAAGTTAGTATTTTATTTCTTTTTTTTATATTAAGTTTTATAAATAAAATAAATAAAATACCTTAGATAAGATATTTTTCGCAGAAGTTTTCTTTTCCTAGAATCATAAATTTAATATTTTGTAAATAGAAACAAAATTTTAAATGTACTATGTCTTCTAATTCATAATGGAATAGAACTTAGAACAGTTTAATAACGTTTCTATGAGAATAATTTTATTTAAAAAGAATAATCACTAATGTAAAAATCGAATAGATTTCTCAACTTGTAAGCAATCATTATGATGTACATAATACATAAAATTATATTTCAAACGCCCATTAAATACACAAAAATCTTTTTTTTACAAAGCTACAATTAGTTGTCTTTCTATTTTCATCAACCTTTTTTTTTGTGTTGTCCTTATTTCGTAACATAAAGGTGACGTTGTTCTCTTTTAAATTTCTTGTAAATGTCAAGGAAAAGAAACATACATAAATTAAACCGATGAAGGACTGGTTTTTATCAAAATAGAATTTTTATAAAGAAAATATGAATATTTACGATTAATCATTAATATAAAAACAAATCTATTACAAAAAAAATAATATCAGCTAAATCATAGTTGTTGCAAAATTCATGCCGACTGATGGTTTCATTTTTTTTTTTTGGTTCTTAAAAATATTCATAATTGATAACAAGGATATGATACATCTATAAGTAAAATTCGAAATTAAAGAAAAAGAATGATCCAAAAGATCAAATGCTAATTTAGTACTATAGAAAAAAAAAGATTGTTAAAAGACTTGACTTGGACCTCAGAACAGCAACGAAGGTTTAACCGGAAATGATTCTATCAATTTTGATATATTTTCGCTTTTCTCCAACGTTTTATTATTTCTTTTTTGTTCAGCACAACTTCCAAAATTGTTCTATCCCCTAACCTAAACCTGGTCATGATCATTCGACTGCGAATAGACGACAAAAAGAAACAATAGATTCTTCAATTGCTGTTTTCGGAGTTATTGTTAAATACACTTCAAATGACTAGTCCTAAAGTCCTTTATCTAGTTGATCGCTCTCAATCCTGGCGACCTCTAGAGTTAACAAATAGTCTAAAGGACATGTAATCAAAATAGGCAATTTCCTTCAGATCTAATCAAACATTCAAAAAAAGACTAAATGAATTAGAATATTGTTATTTCGATGAACAATTTTTTGTTTAATCTAACCTCTTCGATCATTATCTCTCAATTATTAAAATATAGTTTAAATGTTTGTTATTATTTTAGTTAATAATTTAAAAATAAAACATGGTCTCATGTCGAATGTGTATGCAAAGTGTCGTATTGAATTTAATTATATTAATTTGGTCGTTAATGCTTGATGGATATTTTATAAATGAAAATCGTGGTATTAAAAGTGGTCTTGTTTATTGTGAATTAGAAGGATGGATATTACCAATGTAAGATAAAATTATTTTTCATATTATTAATGTAAATTTTTGAAAAATTTTCTTTTTAGATATTCATTTTTTACATCTATTGGTATAATTATTGCTTGTATACAATTAATTCTTTTAATTGTTTGTTGTGGTTGTTTAAAAGCTGAAGAATGTCTTCGTGTTCGTTCATATACAATTGATTTATTATGGGCTATTGCAAAAGAAGTACCTCAAATAATGATTATTTTTTATATAAATTTATGTCGTGATGGTTGGTTTAAAATGTCATCATTATTTAAAGCAATATTTTCTATATTTGTTACAATTTGGAAATTAAATAATCTCTATACATTTTTACGTAATGATGTTAAATCAAATGATATACCAAATTGTTGTCGATCTAAACGTTTATATATTTGTTTTCCAATTTTTCTAATACCAATTTGGATACTTAATTTAGGTTTATCAATAATGATTGCTATTTTATTTGTTCATCGTCATCGTTATGAAGCTTTTATAGATATACCTGGTTCAATACATAATTTATATATACCAGATAAATATTTATATACAAAATATATTGTTCGTTCAGGTATTTATTTACCATGGCCAGATACAGAATATGAAAATTCTTATATGAAATTAGCTGAAATTGATTATATAATGGCAAATAGAAAGACCACGGTTCATTTAGTATTTAAGTTACCATATGTTTGTTTTGAAAGATCATTATTAGATCGAACACCAAATCAATGTTTTAAACTTGATAATGAAAAAGTTTTATCGACTGTATCCAGAAATGAGTTTAGTCAATATAATGGGAATAACAGAGAACAAAACGCAACATTTATATTTCGATATAGACCACAATCAAATAAATATAATTTAGGGCAGATTATTTATCATGGAAATATTACGTTAGGTCCATTATATTTAAATAAACTTTTATATTTTCGTTTACATCATGCTAATGCTCAAGAAGATGATGATGATTTTCTTTCTCGAATATCAAAAAATACTTATGAATTTTATACTGTTGATCGTCAACTTATACCAATTGAAAAAGCTTGGCGATACGGTCTTGGAAAATGTCGACCTTGCAGACGAGGACCACAGTTATCTACTAATTAATTTTTTTTCTATTGTTATCAGATATATTTACATTTTTTTTTCGTATTATTTTACCAATGTATTGTACAGAGACAAACGTTTACTTACAAACAGTTAGATTGTTATATATATTCAATTTTTGTATGTCAGATGAATATATATATAATATAATATTGCTTTGAGCTCATCTTAGTCAAAAATAAATATTTTAATCATTATTATGACAAATAAATGAAAAAAAATGCCTAATCACTACAAAAAATGGAATCGTACTTGAACGGTTCTTGAGTATATTTATTCGGACATCATTGTAATTTTTATTAACCACATCTAAAGGTTTCCTATGGATCAATGAATATAAATATGTACTGTCATTTATCAGCAGGATCTTGACATTGGATATATAATCAACAGAAAGCATAAATGGAAAATTTGTTTCTATTCCACTAGGACACACACACATAGCAAGATTAGTGTATTTTGAGAAAGCTCATTTGAATAATTTTGTAAACATCTATGCCTCTATGGTAATATTTCTCTATAGGAAATGAAAATTCATGAATATATGTTATAGATACTAGATGAGAAAAAATCTATGAACTCTCTATGTTGATTATATTGAAGAAAAACAAAAAGGTCATGAAAATTGAAAAGAATATAACGATATGTAAAAGTAAGACATACTTATTATCTAACATAAAATGATTAATTTACAAAAGCAATATTGGTTAGACCATCTGTTTTATTCTCGGAAATATTTTCTTGTTCTCACTATTAATCTTTCTTCTTGACATATTGAATAACCTAAAAAGCAGATAATTGACAAAATAAAATTCTATGCATAACTATTATTAAACATTCATTATTTTCTATGAAAATTAATTCGAAATGAATAAAATTTTAATTGCGTCATTTTTATTTACAATCAATTATTTTTCTAAGTGCCATCTGTTGTAACATTCAGCACTACAAAGACAGCACAGTTGTTATTTAGAGTGTTCTCACTACTATATCACATTGTTATTCTATCTCTTATATAACTATCATCAAATAGGTTTAATATACATATAGAATAGCCTATAAATAGCTATACAAAAACAAATCAGAATAGATTTCTTTTAATATAATCAACCGGATTGGCTATTTTGTTTCATCGTAAGAAGCCTATTCAATTTTTGTTTTCATAGAAATAAGATAACCAACTACTTTTTTCGAGTATCATTATTTAATTTACTACATTGGCAACGATAAAAAAAAAAAAGCTAAAATAAACTCAATTATTAAAATCATATTGATGGATCGTGAGCAACCTTCTACGACTAATTAGATTAAAAGTCAACAGTTATAATGCTTCAAGTTCTTCACAATAATAAAATACTTTTTTTGTTTTTGTAAAGAAGTTTGTTAGACAGTATTTGAATTATGTGACATAAATTTAAGCATTCTAAATCACTTTACTCTTATATATAAGTTTGCTAAACATCTATGAATTTAATATTCATAATAGAATTTATTTCAAGTTTTTTCTGTTATTATCATAGATGAAGATTGAAGATTATCAATAGGTCGTTCTATATATATACATATTTTTCTTACTTGTCACTGATTACGTTTGTTTAGTAAACTCAATAATGATACTTCAATGCAAGAATTGTTTATCTTATTCGTATGCCAACAAAGTTTGAATAGGCTCTCTTATCATTAACAAAACAATCAGTTCGTTTCCTTGAATTGAAGGAAATCAAGTTCGATTTGTTCTCGTATAATTATTTACAGACTATCGTGCATGTCAAACATTGAAAAACACTTAATTAATCAAAATAATTACAGCAAATTTATAAAAAGGTCTTGCGTCAAAAAGAAAAATATATAAGTTGAATTTTTTGGATGCTTATTAATGTAATATATTTTTTTTTCAATTCAAACTTATAAAAATCAGTTTTTCTAGGTACATTTGTCATTTTATTACATTTTTCAAAAAATCGACGTTCATTCAACAAAACTAATTAAATGAAATGCATGATGATAATGATCAAGTGATAGTATGCACACGTATGAAGATTTTTTTTTGCGGGCGTAAATGATGCATATCAAGATGTTCGTTATGCGAGTTCATCTATATAAATCATCAAGATTTTTCTCCTTATTTATTTTACATGGTTGATTATTATTGGCAATCATAGTAAAGAAAAAAAATGAGAAGATAAACGATTTATTACTTAAAATAAGCACGTTGCAACACATCGTTTTTTTTTTTTTACTAATAATAGACCTTGTTTGTATAATGAATATGATCATTTACTGAAGGATAGATAGATATGTAGATAGATCGATCGGTGACTCTCCTTAAGCAGCAGGTGGAAAGAAGAGAACCATTACATATAGAGCCAAGAAAAGAAATGACCTTGTCTTTTTTTTTTTGAGTAGCATAGAAGAGTCGATTTTCTTGTTTTCTGCGGCTACATTCGTCCCACAAGAGACAGGAAGAAGTAAGCGTTACAGGCATTATTAATCATAATTTCATTCCTTTTTTTCTCTCGTTTTGGCCTACTTATTTGCATCTTTTTTTCCTGAATTACGTCCGCGAAGTAATTGTGTATGTTAGTTATATGTGGTCAAAGTTATAGTTTGTGTTTGTACGTGCAAAGAGAAGAGAGATGAGGAAAGAGAGAAAATGAAGGATGCATAACGACAGAGATATGATATTAGATTAAAGCGAGCGCCCATCTTTTTTTTTTTCTTTTTTTCTCTACTTCTCTTTTTTTTTTCTTCTTCTATAGTTTGTACGCCCAAGAATACAAGCAAAGACGTTGATGACAGTCTCATGCTAATCGAGCGTTGACTAACGTATTGCTACTACCACTCCTTTAACCGCACGAGAACTAATAGCAATAACAAAGCTACTGTTGAAGAAGCAAGCAAGCAAAATTAATGGCAAAGAAAAGTAAAGATACAACAGCTTCTACAGCTAAAAAAGAAGCTAAAGCTAAAGCTCCTGTAGATCCAATTGCAACAAGAAATCTTCTACGTTTATTAAATATTCTTGCATTATTATTAGCAATAACAGCATTTATTCTTCAACTTTTTGCTGTTATAACTCATCATTGGAAATGGCAAACAACAGATCTTCATCCATTATTTGCATCAAAAGATCGTGTTAATCAAGCAAATATTGATAGTGATAGTCGACTTGAACAACGTTATGGTTTATATTCACGTGATGTTAAAGTTTATGCTAATAATGATGAACAACTTGATATTCTTGCAAGTACACGTTTTCCAAGATTAGATAATGGTGATGACGATTTACATATATGTTTATCCCAGACATCTACTCTTCGAGGTTCATTACTTGCATGTTCTGATCGTATTGCTTCAGCAGAACAATGTCATTGTCGACGATATCCACATTGGAATGCAATAATTTTTTTTGAAATTACTGCATTAGTATTACTTGGTCTTGTTGTTCTGGTTTGTGCTTTACTTTCAACACAATTTCGTGAATTACTTAAATTAATTGGTGTTGCTTTATCATTTATTGCTTTTCTATTTTTATTACTTGGTCTTATTATACTTCTTAGTTATCTTAAACGTGAAACACGTTCAATTGCTGATACATATCCTCATACTTATTTAAGACTTGCTAGTCCAATTACTAGAGGTTATCAAGCACAAACACATAAAATTGTTCGTCGTCAAGCACATGAAACTTATCGAGCATATTCTTTATCATCTGGTCAACGTCCATATAATGAAACACATTTTTACCAATATTTAACAGACACAGGTAAATGGGTTCCAAGACCTTATACAGATTTGAACAATGCTGCTTATGAACCACGTGCATATCCTGTTCATACTCAACGTGCAACAACACCTGCACCAGCTTTATATAATCGATATGGTCCACCATTAGGTTATGATGAAGTTTATGAAAATACACATGCTTGTATTGGTTGGTCAACTGCATTATCAATAATCGCTATGATTCTGGCATTACTTGTAGCATTGATTCTTGTTTTTTCATGGCTTACAGCTAAAAAATTAGCACCAGAAGTAAAAACAGTAACAACAACAACTGTTAGAACTGAATATACATCAGTACCACAAGAAGTTAGCATTGAAACAATACCTTTAACAAAACAAATTATTACTGAAGATATTCGACACGGACCTTATGATAATTATGGTGGACGACAAGAACCAGTTGTTATACAAGATGTTGTTATTCGTGGTGAACAACCAATAGCAACACAAACATATCGTACATAAAGAATTGAATTATTAAACATATTCTTATTCTTATTATTTTATATTGCTTAGTTGCGTTTTTTTTTTTTTGTCTTTTTCATCAGTATTTTTTAGACTAACAAATACACATACATACATTTATTTCGTTTTATTTTAACCTAAGCTTTGTTTTTCTTTTTATTTAACTTGTATTGTGTTTCTTTTTTTTTTTCAATTTTTGCTTAAATAATTATTATAGTAAATTCTCGCTTTATTTTTTCTTTTCTTGTTTTTATATTAAATTTATATTTTATTTTACAAGCATTTGAATCGATTGGAATAATTCATCATATTCGTCATTGGCTATATGTATTGAACGATCAGAACTAGTTGCTTGTGTGACAATAATGGTTGGTTTTTCATTAGTCATTGGTTTAGATTTATAATTCGAAGTTTCTAATTGTTCAATAGCAGATTCTAATGAAGAAAGACGTTCTTGAAAACCTTGTCCAAGCCATTCATTATCGAGTATATCTATAAGTAAAAAAAACAAAACCCTTGTTTCGTTTTCTCATGTATTAAATTCAAACGAAGAATACCAAGATTAGGTAAATTATTTTTTACATCTTTTTGATAAGATGAAGAATTACAAAGAGGATTTGTGAGATTGTTTTGTCTGTCGTTCAAACATAATGATCGTAAATGTGTTAAATGTAATAATGGAGCAAGAGATTTTAGTCTAAAGACAAACAAAATTTCGATAAATATATATTTTTATTTTTATAATAAAGAAAATATAGAATTTCATTTGATAGAATCATAAAATTTTTTTGAAGATGAGAAAAACTCACTAGAAGGTTATAAGTTCATATATCATATTTGATGAAGGATATAGAAATAATCTTGCTGACAAGTTACTTTTTTCAACACTCAGCAACAATATCGCTCAACAAGTACATATAAGAGGTCTTTTAAAGTTAACCGTATAGATAGATTCATCGATATACATTCTCGTATGTATAGTACCCACAAACAAAAGTTCTTGACTTTTACAGCGCAATATTCTTTTGTGTTTCGCTATGTCGTTTGTATATTCCAACAGTAACTTATTGTTATCATTGTCGTTTTATCATCATTTTTATCATGTTGCATATAAAAGACAGACATGTGTCAATCATAGTACATTTATCATTCGTAATCAAGGATATTTACAAAACTATGTCGACTTTTTCTTACCCTGTAAGGTTATTTCCAGCAACATTAAGAGATTCTAAATTTTCACATGATTGTAAACCATCTAAAGAATGAATTTGATTTTGAGCTAATGAAAGTTTTTGTAATTGTGTAAATGTACCAAAACCACGTATATTATTAAGATTATTATTATTTAAATTTAAGATAATTAAATTACGACATATGCTTAGACAATTAGCATCAGTAAGATCTAATTATTTAAAATAATATTTTGATCAAAATTATGATAACAAAACAAAAAAAAAAAAACATAAATAGATTATTGTTTTTTTTTTTCTTGTCTTACTTCGAGAATTTAAATCAAGAAATAAAATACTTTCAGCATCAAAATGACCTTGTTCATGTTTAACAATATCAACTAAAGATTCTATAATATAAAAAAAAAAAACTATTCAAATTGAATTTATCTTTTTTTCTTATTACTTGAATCAGACATTATCTAAAATACATGGAAATAAATTTATTTATTTATTTATTTGAATAAATAGATATAACAATAAAAATAATGAATATTTATCTGACTTAGAAAAGAAAAAGAAAAACAAATGATTAAAATATTTATAAAATTAAACATGAACTATTTTTAAATGAAAATGAAGATTGATAACAACAAACAGAACGATTAATTGGTTGTCGTGTACGAAATTCTAATTCACCTGTATCATCATCGTTATCATTAGCAAGTAAAGCATGGCTACTAGTATTACTTGATTGAAATACTTTTAATTCTTCACGTAATTCTTCTTTGGTTAATTTTTGTACCGGTAAAACAAAATCATCTTCACTAGAAAAGAAAAAAAATTTCTTTCTTTTTCGTCAAACAAGATCTAAAAGGAATGTTGAAGCATCAGACATAAAAATTTGCATCACCCCCTCACCCCTTCAGATCATGACAGACACTAGCTAGTGACCGTGACAGACATTGACATACGATGACAAACCTCATGTCAAGAATGTCGCGTTATGACTTAGGAACAGCATCGTTATTGCGTTTCTCAAGGGTTAAGTAGAAGGATGGTGAAGAGATATCTCTCAAAATAGATAGAAAAAAAAACAATCTTCCTGTGATTATCAGCAGCAGATATATTATGTTTTACATTTTAATCCCGCAGGGATTGTACTAACAGTTTGTTTTTCTTTATGCTAAATGATCTATCTTATCCTATATTATGATTTTCATGTTAATAAGACACGAAAAACAAAAAGACAACTGTTCCTAAATATTTCTAATATAACTATTTATATGGATCGAAAATATTCTCATTTTATGTTTATTATTAATTTTAATCTTTGTATGTATCTTTGAAAAGACATTGGATTAAGTACACTATCTCCCAACCCTGTCGTGATCCAATATTTGTCTTTTTTTTTATGGCGATGATGTTGTCTGAACTAGTATCTATTTATTCAGTACATTTTGGGATCGGAAAATTGTACATTGTTTTGCGTTTTTCTTCTAGACACTTCGACTGATTGAGCTGAAATTTTTTGTTTAATAATTAAAATTAAGTCAAGATGTATTTTTTTCCTGGAAATAATGTTCTAGTAACTTTTATCAGGTCTTACAAAATTTGCCTTAGGCAATAATATAAACATACCAATATGGTGCTAATCGTTACAAAGAAAATGAGGATTTCTACCTCTATAGTAACTTTTACTGTACTAGTTGAGATTTTTCTGCTTTCAAAGTATCAGAATTTTTGATCGAGCCGTCCTTTATTTGAGAAATTCTGTACATTTCCAACATTAATATGACAAGGGAAGTCCTTCAAATGATAAATTGCTTTTGGATCGAAACTATATGCTTTATCTAGATCCAAATAAGCTTTGAATATTAGGAAAATAGTTCAAGCTCTTGATTTATTGCACTTTCACGATAATTTTTAAATGAATGTCATAGTTCCTTCAGGAACACCGGAAAGATTGTTTTCCAAATTTTGACCTGAAACTTTGCATAGAGATAGATCTAAACGAGAATAGTTTTTTTTGTGAATATTTCAGATCTTATCGCTGTTCCTATCCTAAAATATAACTATGGTAATAGCATGTCTTTGACGTTGTTCATATAGAACCCGAAACGTTTAATATTTTTATTTCAGGATAAAAGCAAATAAAAAGACCTTGAGGACTCTTTAAAGTCAGTTTGGTTAAAAGTTGATTATGTCTATGTGCAATAATATATAAAAAAAATTCTAAAAATAAAGCTCAAAGCACCAGTCAATATTTTGTTTTCGAACTTACATTATGTTTTTCAAAGAAAAATATAGTAAGTTTTCAGTTGAGATCTCGTGGCTTTGTTCAAAGTAATGGGAGGGAGAAGTAAGACTAACAATGATCAAGTACGTTTCCATAGTAACGAAGAAAGATACTGAATCATATTATCAATAAGGCTTAGGCTGTTCTAGAATATTCGAAACTTGAATAGTTGTAATACGTTTCTGAATACTTTACATAATATAGTTTTTGATTTTTTTGCCGATAAAAATTTATATTTAAGATGTCAAGAATGATAGCTAATGATTGATTATAATCATATTAAAACAAGAAAAATACAATACGAAAATGGCAAATAAAACATAGTGTGACAGTGAAAAAAATTCTATTCGGATTGCAGAAATAAAAATAAGACAGATCGATGTGTTTGACGATCGATTATTCTTGAAAAATAACCATAGTCTGCTGAAGCTTTTTCATTTGACGTATTTTCTATTAGAATAATGCGGCTAAATAAAACATATGAGATACACATTTTAGCTCCAAAGAGACTACATTGATCATTTTTGTTTTTTCTTAGTCTGCTGCTATACACGTTAATAGAAGATTATAAAAATCTTGAGTATAAAGAGAAATAAACCTTATTGTCAAATAAAATTGATATTAATCCTTCGAGATAAAAAAATCCTATAAGCTCTTATTAAAACTTCTTCGCAATTTCTATAATATTTGAAAAGTAAAATTTTTTCAAATTGAAAAGACTAACTCAGAATGTTCATTGTCATTAATTGTTACTAAAGGTTCATATGATGGATCATCACTTGATTGAATTCGTGTATTAGGAATTCTTAAAAAAGAATGATATTACATAAAATAAGAAAATAAAATCAAAAAAATATATACTTAAATCCCGATGAAATTTGAATTGTTTTAGAAGGAGTTAGAGATTGTACGAGATGCGGTTTCTTTGATATCATTGGACGAATTTTAGCTAATGGATCTAATTAAAAAAAGCAAAATAAATATTATTTATTAATAAAGAAAATTTGATCAAACCAGTTGATTTAGAATTATGTTGAGTTGGTTGAATTGTCACAACATTTAATGTCTTGAAAACAAAATATTCAATTGAAATTTTTAATAACAAATCATGGTTACCTACACGGTGATTAAAACTAGAAGTATCCATAGTTTTGCCTTGAGAAAGGACAAAAAAAATCCTTCATTTCTATCAATAATAAACGAGCACAGAATAGCAGCAGCTGATCTGAGTGAGTGAAGTATAGACCTCGATTTTTATTGGTTTAATTTTTATACAATCATTTTACTTGCTTGATTGAATGATTTTTAGTATTATATGCTAGGAATAATCAATAATATGCAAAACAGATTATAATTCGTGATATTAGGTAAAAAAAAAATCGAGATTTATTCATTCACGTATTATTCAATTATCAATTGATGATCAATAATTGATAATTATGCGTAAATAATTATGAAAATTAGATAAAAGATTTTTATTCTGATTGTAATTCGATGATCTACTATTTGTAAACATAAATATTGTTTTGATTATCAAAAAAATAAATCTTCTGAAAACCTTATGTTTTTTCTTTTTTGTGTTTGACTATCCATCAAAGTAACGATTTCTAATTATTTTGTCATTAGTTTTAGATGAATGAAGTTTTAGTAATAGTCACATTATTTTTGTTACAAAGTCATTTTAGTAATTCAAGATAAAATACAGGGGATCCCAAAATTATAGAACCCTCCCTTTATTTTTGAAAATCTTCAGCAAAGATGAATAGCTAGATCAAATTTAAATAGTGATTTAGATAGCCCTTGAAATTCTCTATCGAACATGGTATAGACTAAAGTTTGAAAAGAAACTTTATGAAGAGAATCGTCTCGAAGAACCGTGTCACTGTAAATTCAAGTTTTCGAAAAGTTTGAAAAAAAATATTTTTAAATACNAGTTCATAATGCATACCAATGACATTCATTAGAACTCCATTCTTACTCGAGCAAATGTGGTGTAGGTGGTGCCGCTGACCTACATTCTTTATGGGCTACCTGCACACCAATCTTCAGTCGCTCAGCTCTTGTATGGACTGAGATCCGAGGGGGGGGGGGATACTTTTGTCAAGTAGTGTATCTTAGAATGTTCAAATAGTAAAATGAAATATTATAGTTGAACATATTAAATAAAAATTAATTTTAATTAATTAAAATAAAAATAATGAATATGATTATTTTAAATAAAATCATGTTCAATTGATATTTTAAAGAACCATTTGTACTTGGTGTTGTTAATGGTCGAACAGGAAATGATGTATCATTGAAGAATTTGTTTATCCAATCAACATAAGCTGAAAGTTTTGTATAGACTTTCGGATAACCACTTACAGAACATCCATCACCATAAGAAACAATGCCAACCTAAAAAACAAAATGAATGTCAAATTTTTGATTATTCTTAAAGATATTTACTTGTTCCCAATGAGTATTTTTATATATGAAAATAGGTCCACCTGAATCACCTTGACATGGAACTTAGATTATATATCATAAAAAGCAAAAACATGTTTGAAGATTTGTAATTCAAATAATAATTACCTTTGATATTTTGAATTAATCCAGCACAAAATTGATATGAAGTATTTTGAATTAATTTTAAACATGATACATTTTGATTATGAATTAATTTAACTGAAATTTGTTGAAGAATATTTGACATATCATTATTTATTATAGATGATTTCCAACCAACAACAATTAATTTTGAATCTTTTGATAGATATTCATTTGTTATTATATATCTATTTGGTAGACATGCTCTACTAAATATAGGTTGATTATTAAGTTCAAATGGTCGATCAACTTGAATGATTGCAATATCATGAAAATAATTTTCATCATACGAATAATTTTCATGAATATAAATCTTATGAATTTTTCGTTTTGATAATGCTATTGAAGAAAGACTGTCCATACCAGCGAATATTTCAATATTTCCATGATCATCTATTTGATTAAAACAATGAGCTGCAGTTAATATAAATAAATCTGATAAAATTGTTCCACTACATATATGTCCATGATCATAGATTCTTATCGAAACTATCATTGTCCAACTAAATGGATAAATATTTTCACTAGGAATTATATTCGATAATAATTCATTTTCATTATAATTATATAATACAACATTACTTAATGAACATCCACATAGCTTAGAATTTCGATCACATTCATAGGTAATTTTTTTAATTGATGTTTGTGTACTATTTGTATTGTACCAAAATGATGATGATGAAATTGTTGTTCGTATTGTTGTGGTAATAAGTATCGAATGAGTTGGTTCGAGATGTTCACCAGTCTTATTGACAATTTCATTCATCCAAGATCGATAATAAGATAAACGAGTATAAATATTTGGAATACTACTATTCTCACAAGTAAAATCACTGGATATGATACCAATTTGTAGCCAATATTCTTCTGTCCATTGAAATATTGCTCCACCAGAATCTCCTTTAAGAGAAAGATGATTGTAAGATTTTGATCCATAAAGATAATATATGTAGGTTAGCAGAGAAAGACTTCCTCTGCTCACGAGGGAACTACCAGAACTGATACTCGTCGTTTCAGCTCATAAAAAGGTCGAAATACCGCTATTTGATTTTTCAGATAATACCCAAACCTATGTAGATCGAAAATTTTTAAAAAAATGTGATAAATTGGCTGCAGAGGCCCATGAGCACGAATCTCTCTGTGATTGATCTATTTCTCTGCCCAGACCTTCTTGTGAAGCCAATATAAACTCAAATGGCGGATATCAGCTCTGGTATTTCCGTTGTTAAAGACGTAGCGAAGAGAAAAAAAGTGGGAAGGTTCACACCCGAACGTCTACTTACGTTAGTTATATAGATCTCATTCTGAGGTTAAAAAACATCATGAAACTTACATTCGTCTTTCTTTATTTAACTAGAAACAAAAATGATTTCTTTTTTTGTTGTCAACATACCTTGACATGGACCTATAAAAAGAATAAAAATATTTATTCAGTTTAAAAAATTGTTTCAAATAGATTCATCACCTTTTCTTTCGCGAAAAACTCCTGCACAAAATTGACTTTGAACATCATTGATTAAATTTGAACACATTGAATTATTATTATCAATTGCAAATATTTCTAATTGTTGTAAAATATCAGGTTCAACATACGGTTCATGTTCAATTGTTCCCCATCCAATAATAACCAATCTTGTACCATTTATTGGATATTGATTATTTAATATAGATGAACTAGTATGAGGAACACATGTTCGACTTAATAACAGATTTGAATCAATTAATAATGGATCATAAAGTTCTAATATGGCTATATCATTTATAAATCTATTACCTTGATGTGTAAAGTTTGGATGCATATATATTCGACGGACATAACTAATAAATCGAGATGAATCAGAACGATTAGTAATTCCTGCAACAATCGTTAGATCGAAAGGATCTATCAATGAAAATGATTGAACACAATGGGCAGCAGTTAGAATGTATGAATTTGATAGAAGTGTTCCACCACATAAATGTTTATTACCATTTAAAATACGAAGAGAAACAATCATTGTCCAGCTCGCTTCGACAGCATTTTCACTACCAATGATTCTTGAAGTTGGAAGTTGAACAGGACGATAACCACAACCACATGTCACATTATTCTTATCACAATTATAAGTTATTGGACGGTTTCGAGTTCTTGTTGTATATAATGATTCATTGTGACTTGTTACAATAGAATTTATCCAATCGATATAGTACGCTAGACGAGTATAAATACTTGGATAGCCTGGAATTCCACATCTAGAGTAACTTGCTATGCCTACCTAGATTTAATTAATAAAGTAGATTGTTAAAATATTGAATGATATTGACGCTATTGTAATCATTAAGTAGAACACAAGAGTTGTCAAAAAAAAAACAGTTGCTTTAAAAATTAAGAAAACATGGTTCATGTTATACGTTTACCTGCTCCCATCGGTTACTCATCCATTGTAAGATCGGTCCACCAGAATCACCTAAAATAATTAAATGAATGTAATCAATAACAATTCCGCATGTATGAAACATACCGTAGCATGGATCTATTGAAATAGAGTAAAGATAATTGACGAATAAAAAATAAAACATCAAACTTACCTCTACCATCTTGTATGAGTCCAGCACAGAATTGTTTTTTTGGATCAATCAATAAACGAAGACACATTGAATCATTGTTATCAATGACGAAGATTTCTCCTTGTTGAAGAGCATTATATATATTCACTGTACCTTGTCGTATTGAGTCCCAACCGATTACAGCTAATTGTGTACCATTTTTTGGATAATGCAATATATTCGTTGATACATTTACAGTTGGTAGACATGTCGGAGCAACATAGGGATTATCATTGAAATGTAATGGATTACTTAATTTCAAGAGTGCTATATCATTAGTATATCCATCAGTATAACCTTTATACTTAGGATGGATATAGATGTGATCTACATCACGAGTAACTGAATTTGTTTCCATGAGATAATGGATACCAGTCTTGATTGTAATATGTAATGAGATGACTTTTTCAACACAACGAGCAGCCGTTAGAATGAAATAATTGTTCAAAATCGATCCAGTACAAGGAATGTTCTCGATTAACGAGCGGAAATTAAGAAGAACAATCATTGGTCAACTGTCCTTGATCGCAATTTCTCTTCTAGAATTTGCTGACGAAGTTAATTCAACATTGAAAAGACCGCAGCCACATGACGTATTTCTATTATTGCACTCATATTGAACCGCAACACAAATAGTCACAGTGTATAATAGTAACAAATCTCTTCTCAACAACATATTCATCGTTATTTTTCATTAAAACGAATTCTCAACAACTGTTTATTAGAATTGGAAGCTTCATATTTGCTCTTAGGCTTTACACAAAAAAAAATATGAATAGCTTGTATTGATTAACACATTGGGCACGATTCAGTTTTCGTATGAAATTTCTGCAAGATGTCATTTTTATGAATAGTTCACTTCTAATAAATGCACTTAATGACCCTTTCGTTATCTTCTACTGATTATTTATCGTTCTCTTTCTTGTATTACTACATAATGAATCATTTTTCGCGAGTAACTAGAATTGCCTGAGTCAATTTTTCGTTCTTTTTCATGTTATATATAACATATGTGAGAAGAAGGAGGAAAATTCCAGGCTTTTCTCTGTTATTCTTATCCATGTGTTGTTTTACNAAGAAAAAGACAGTGGAAAAAATAGAACTAGAAACATTGTTTTTAAAGAAGTTTTGTAAATTAGTTGTTTTAAAATAAAATGAAAATTAATAAAATAAGCTGTTTTTATAAAACAGAAATACAGATTTGGATTGTATCCCTAGGAACCCCTTACCATAAAAGAAAAAACTTCTTTCATTGATAAAAAAAAGACCGTGCAGTATGCACGGGTTCTCTCTAGTAAAGTATATTGACAACATGCTTTCATAAAAAATGCTCTTATTGAAGCTATTTGAAGATTATTACTCTTTAAAACGTAATTTAACAATTCCTGTCCGATATCATCATCTTTGAACAAAATATTTATCGTTCTCTGGTTTATAAAAATATCACACCATAGCGAATTCGTATCGATTTTCAAAAAACTATAAATTAATTAAGAAATCGTTTCTCATTATTTATCATTTATTTCAAGCTAGATTTACTTTAAATAACATCGTTACCAACTGTAAGATTTCAATACAATAATACTATTTGTGTTTGAACCAAAAAAGAAAACAATTTAAATTTATTTTGCTTTAGTCACGCACTGTTTTCAAATGCGATACTATAACAGAATTTTGTTATGAACGACAAAAAACACTTACGGTATGAACTATAGAATCTTCTTTCATTTCTTCAAGATCATCAGATACAGATCGTTGTGTTGTCAAAATTTTACCCAAATTTTCTAAACGTTTATTTTCATCAGCAGATTTCGTCGGCAATTCGACTTGTTGAAGTAAAGCTGGTTCGAATCCAATATATTTGAGTAGATGATATCCTGGATGTTTTTCATCAAATTTGACATTGTAAATGAAACTTTCTACTGTTTGAAATTGCTCATATGAGAAATAAGTTAATTCAGGATAGATTTCATACATTTGACATAATTGTCGTTCCCATAGTGAAAGTTTTTCTTCAAGTGTGGCATATAAATGACGAAGATCATCATAGTTCCCTTCATTACATGTGCATCCTTGATTATTAATAATTTCAGTTACTGTTGGAAAACCTGCGATGTAGAGAGACGAAAGATTTTTTAGTACGCCTTCAATTACGCCAACCAATTCGACAAATGATTCTAATTTTTGAATTTCTAGATTGTGATCTTGATTTTTTTTGTGTGCATTTGAATATTGAATTAATCGAGCGCGATCGCGTAATTCACTTAAATCATCAAAAGTAAGATTTTTTGATTTTATTTGCACATCAAATAAACGTTCGGAACCAAGATTTTTGACAAAATGCAATAATGAATGTGACATAATGTCTATAATATATCGTCGTTTTGATTGTTCTTTATTTGTAAGTTCAAGATAGAGATGTTTTATGCCTGCAACAGATTGTGAACATGTTTCAAATAATCCAATAACGTTCTTAAAATCATCATCCTTAAAAATATCATCGAAACATTTTGCAACATCTTGAAATAAGAGCTCGGCCTTATGAGAACGAAGTTCTTCTATAGATGCGTAAGCACGTGTAAAAAATGTTTTCAATTTAACAAAATCAATGACAGACTTGGTGCTAATAAGTGTTTCGTCCCAATCGTTTACTGCTTCAAGAAGATTATCAGCATCAGTTGTAGTAAGTTCTTCCAAAAATTTGATCAATTCTTTTGACACATTGTATTTTGCACATAGATTAAGTATATTTCTTGAATAGATATTTTCGATAGTTTCTACATAATGTTGGTATTTATTGTAACATTCACTGCTGATAGTTTGATTATTAATTTCTGTTAAATCAGCAAAACGTTTTTCGAAATCGGTATTTGAAGAAATATGACATCGTTCAAACAATTTATTAAAGCCAAAACATACATTGTGTAAATACTTCCGATTTTTCCAGAATGTAAATATGAAGCGTAAATGAGGTACTACATCAGCATGAAGGAATTCTTTAAGAATTAGCATATCAGATTCAACTGATCCAACATCAGGAAAAACAATGAGCAATTGCTCTATAGGTAACTCTTTCCATCTGATACAAAGTTTGTCCAGTTCAACGATAAAACCATCGAACAAATTATTAGCATTTGCAAGTGTTTCTGCGCATGAATTTTTTATATTGACTCTTTGTTGAGTTTGTCCATTATCAGTGACAATAGCTGCTTCTTGATCATTGATTGCGTTAGGTTTATTTTTAGAAACATGCTTATGTGTATTTTTGTTAACACTTGTTCGCTCTAGAACAAATATCATTAAATGATAACTTCAATTCTTAAAAATCGTTTGTCTTTTCTTTTTTTGAATACACACGAAGATGTATCCACCTCAGTACATATATAGATTGGTTGAAGCAATAGGTGAGTCATTTCTGGCGAAACTTCATTCCACTGAACAACTTTTATGATATTTTTTGAGTGGATATCATATGAGAAATGATGAAAGTATCTTCAAAGTAGGGCAACGCAAGAATTTAATTAATGTTTGAACCCAATTTAGGCAGGCACGCAAATATTTTGAAAATTAGATATCTTTCAGTTTTTGATAACTAGGACCTGAAAAACTTTTTTATACTCCGAAAACATTTCGCTGTTGAATAAAGAAATGAACATTTCTTTTATATTTCATGAAAAGAGTATCCTTAATGTTTAAAAATTCTAGCTTGAGTAAAATACGAATCAGATATTCATATGAAGTGTACAAAGGAAAAATTTGATTCTTTAATTTATTTCCATATACCCAATAATTGCAAATCCCACAGTTATTCGAAAGCAAGATTCTCGCATGAATTGTTTAATATCTAATAAGTATACTCGTCTTATGTATAAAATATAAGAGTTCAGTTCCGTTTTTCTGAACAACAGACATCGTTTGTTGTAACTAATGGATTTGTAACTCATGAAAAGAGTAGTTTTATCTTGAACATGATCACAAGTTATTTTTCTTCTCGAGCAACATTAGAACATGTTAAATAGATATTAATTTTACCTTCATCATTATTGAATAATGAATCGATATTGAAAGCTTCGTCATCCTCATCATCATCATGATTGCTTCTGGCATCAGTTAGCATTTGTTTATCTATAAAAGAAATAGAACACCTTATGATGGAAGATCTACATTAATAGTTAGCAGACTAGATTTATTTTCGAGTTGTTTAGTATAGTAATGCATCCAGGCATTTGATTTTGAAACATGACTAAGACGAATGGCTAAAGGTTGAAGCTTTTTAAGTTCGGGCTCAACAACAATCCCATGTACTGCTCCGTCATCAATTTGTAGCTGCATAGACTGAAGCAGTTTTAAATAATTTGCCTTGTCACTATCTTCTGAACAGTATGCATTTAGACAGTTAACAATATTTTCTTTCAATTTTATTATCCGAAGCATTTCTTGATATTGCGTATCAAATAATCGATTAACGGAGTACTTTTTCTTTGCAAATTTTTCAACAATATTCCATATTTCATTGAAATAATATCGTTGATTGAAAGTAAAAATTTGCCAGCATCTTATTTGACGAGCTTGTAGTCCTTTTTGCTCCCATATATTCCAGAATTTTGTAAGCTGATCAAGTATATTTAGACGAATAGGTATTTTTATAAAACAATTTTCGCATAATATAATATATGTTAAAGTATTATTTGATGGTCTTTCCAACGTATGTTGAAGTAATTCATCATGTGTAATATTAATTGCATCACAACATATCTCAAGAAGACGTGTAACTAGATGACTGGCTTCTTTTCGCTGATACAATTCGATCAAAATTATCAGAGGATTATTAATAGTTTGCATCGTTTTTATTTGATATTCATATGGAAGAAAATATTCTTCTTTAAATTTTCTTTCGAACTCTTGAATAAATATTTTATTTTTTATATTTGAGCCAACATTTATAATAGCATCTGATATAGAATCTAAACAAACTATATAAAAATCTTAATAGAATTAATAAAATATTATACTTCGCTTGAAACATTTATCAATCATATGCTTGACGAAGTATATGAAGCGTCGACTATTCGGTTTATTATTTGTTACATCACTTAATCGATCAAGTAGACTGTCCATTTTAATCACAATTTGTCGAAAAAGTATACGATCGTCTACAATTTTATCCGACCATTTGTTCATCAATAGTTGAAAATAAGACCATTCTTGTTCTGATTCAACATAATGAATATCACATAAGAAATATTCGAACCAATGTATATAAAACTCGCATGAACGTTGTTCATTTTGATTGAAAACTTTATGCAGATATGTCTGCTTATCAAAATTGAATAGTAAAATTGGATTATAACATTGAAACAATTCATACAATAATTTCAAATCATTATCCTGAATTATTAATTTTGATAGATAAATATTGATCTTATTCTGAAGTGTTACACTTGTTTCAATCATTGAATGAATTACTTCTGTCAATTCTTTCTCATTTTCATCTGTTGGTAATGGATCTTGCAAAGTTTTAAAAGCATGACAATCTCATTTAATCGAACTACAAACATAAACACATTAAAAAGATAATAATCAGTAATAAACAATGTACTTACCATCGAATATCCGTTGAGTAATCACTTCATTAAAAGCCTGCTTAACACGAGTTTTCACAGTTTCATCATGTAAGTAATGCTGTAAAATGTATTTTGAACATATCAAAACTGCATGAAAAGATGATGATAACTTAATATAATCACATGTAAGTTTATCTTTGGATATGAAAAGTAATAAATCGGTCCAATTAGATCGTTGGATTCTCTGTTGAGATTCAAGAAGCCGTTGAAGTAGCAAATACACTATGTCCTGTTTCCATTTTTCTGTAATTGTAGTCCGAAGAAATAAACTAATCGAATCGTATTCGGAATCCGTATTAGCAGTTAATATCTCGATAAAAATCAAAAACGATAAGCCATCTTTGAATAAAGGCCATTCAATTTTATCCATATTAACAAACAAATCAGATAGATTGGGCAACACACGTTTAAGTATAGTTACTACCAGCAAACGAACACCATACTCAGTGACAGAAAGAGTAGCTTTGTTAAATGGTAAAATTCCCCACATCCTTACTATGACTCGAACATATGCAGGTTCCTCGAGAACACTTTCGACATACTTCAAGTAATTATACGCTGTCTCAGTGAAAGTGACAAAATTGTTCGAAGACATTTCAAACTCATGGACATGTATAAAAATTGCGAATTGTTCCATTAATGTGGAAAATAAATCAAGTTGACGACTGTGTATTATAAAGTACGTGAAAAAACACAATTGTTCCCAAATAGAAACGTTCGCACCTGAAAAAAAAAATATTCAAAAGTCTGCTAATGTCAAAATTATGCTTTTCTGCAGCTTATCATATGAAATTAAGCAACGTATAAACTTAGTATTTTATTATATGGTGTGCAAAGAATATACATAACTAAGCTAAGTGAAATAAAGTTTGATTTGTCTGTGGAAGCCTATAAATTTTTATCAATAACAATATCAAGATCATGCTTGAAATCGGTTAAAATTTCTATCCAATTGTTTTTCGTGCTAAGTTTTAGCCCATGTCAAGATGTTAGATCAAGTCTATTCTGTCTTTTTTTGATCGATTTTATATGTCTTAATTGGCTGTCATATATCTTTTTGCCTGTAGATACTATATAGTATCCTATTAAAAATTCTTAAAGGATTTCGTTTTTTATCTTTTTCTGCAAAAGTTATGCCTTTTTTAAATTAATGCTATAGTACGTAACACACAATATTAAACAATTTCTCAGTCAACTTGAGGGTGTGGTTGTGAGTGTTAGTTTTATCTTGATTGATACTTGTACGCCAGCACCCATACTGATCACCACGTTACTTGACTATTATTTTCTGAACTGTATCGAAAACCATCAACAAGAAGTTGATTTTTATCTTTCGATGACTGTATAATTGACGTACTCAAGAAGAGACATATGGAGTGTGGATGTGAATGGAAAGAAGACCCTACAACTACACCTACACACTTCACACACACACATCCATTGCATCAGTATGCTGTATGATCTTCCTTCAGAAAACAAAATTCTGTTATTGGCCAAGGAAAAAACTGAAAGATTGAAATTCATTTGAATATAATAGATATCAGGCAAAACCGAAAAACACAATCTTCTGACATTTGGTTTGTATTTGATTAACTGGTGGATTTTTAATATTGCATATGATGCAATACAGAGGCAAATTAAAAATGTTCACAGTTATCATAGGAACAGATAGGATATCCAGTATCCTTTAAGAGTTTCTACTAAGACACTATATAGCATCGATAAGCAAAAAATTATTGAAATTGAATGGGATGGGAGGCATTTGAGGAGGTTCCCTCATCCGTTGATTACTTTGGATTTGAAGTTAGGTAACAAATTGTACAATATTTGAATATAAAATCTATCTGACAACCAGTGATCTCATTACTGATTTTAGTTAGTAAAATAAGTAAGGAATAAGTAAAAAGCTTCTGAAAAAATAAATATTTCATGTTATTATTGTAATAATAGTTTAAATTCACAAGATAAGATTTTAAATAAGTATTAGATTAAAAAAAGCAAGTAGGTTACCTATCAGTCATAAAGAATACTTCAAAATGTGGTACATAGCTTCTTCTTATCAGCGGGATAGAAGTTTTAAATGATCTTCTGCTCAGATATAAAAGAAGCAATACTTGTTGTTTTATTTTCTCTATTGAATATTATGAGATACACACATCAAATTTTAAGGATCTCTAATTATTATCATTATTGTCTAACTTATTTTATTCAGAAAAAGGTGATCATATTCGGTGAATGGTTGATCAGCAACAGCGATTTAGATTCTAATTAAAGTAAAGAAATTAAGTAGAATTGAAAATTATTATACTAATTATTAATAAATTTTATAGACATCATATCATTACTGATAAAATATAGGATTATAATATATGAATGGCACAGCAGTTAAACGCACTTCGATTTACTTAGGTTTGATAGTCGATCAAAAACTTATTCTGACGGAACTACCGTCTACTTCCTCTTGTTAAGAAGGAATTACCCAATCTCTCAGATTATTACGCATAAACAAAGATACGCATGCTATGTTTTCCTAGTTGTATGCTACTCACTTTTGCATAGAATAGAAATCTGCTTGACAAAAGCTACCAAAAGCAAAGATCAGTTTTTCATTTGCATCTATTTGGCGTTTATAAAGGAACATGTAAGTTAAATCATAGTTTGCAACTCATTCAACAAATATATTAGAAATCAGCAATAGGCTAATTATGGGTATAACCAATGGATCAATGATGAAAATAAGATCAGAAGAAAAGAAAAGACATAAACAATAGTTTTGCAAAGCAAAATATTAGTGACGATCTTCATACGTGGATAAAGTATTCAAAAAACTTACCGAGAATAGCTTTATCAGTACCAGGTGGAAAGCGTAAATCAAAAAGAAATTGAATGGATGAAATTTTGCTGTTTATCGATCTTCGTGCTATTTCGTCACATTTAGGATTCTGAAAAAATAAAGTTGACTTCTCCACATGTAAGTAATAATCTGTACAACGATGGCGAACTTTTCCCATCAGAATATAAGGAATATCATCGACGTCTATCTGAATATTAGCAGATAGTTGAAACACAGATGGAATATAATCCCGCTTCTTGTCTTTGGACAATCGAGCAATTTCTTTAAAATCTTGTACAAGTTTAGAACCAAAAACTGCTTGCAATTTTACATTGTCCGAATCAATGAAGTATCTCAGTGCGTAGAGTGAAACAGTGAAAGTTGAAGGTTTGGTTGTTGCAGTTATTGTATTTGATGTCGATGAGTCTCCTGCCAACACATTTGTTACCGAAGGAGTTATCATAGATGCATTGGGCTTAGATACGGATGTTGCTGCTACACTTGATGCCAAATTGGTTGCCTCCGATGTTATTTTTTTCGTTGTTGTTGCCTTCGATTCACCTGCACTCGATGTACTCTTTGCTGCTGTTGGTGCTGCTGATAGAGCTCTTCTCGATTTATGCGGCTTCGATGTATCTATCTTTGGTTTTGTTCCATTCGATTCTCGTTTATTGCTAGACATGGCAGGATACTTTTAGTTTGCAGAAGAAATATTGTTAACAGAAATGCAGCTATGTATGAGAGTGCAATTCTTTTATAGTTCTGTGCTGTGTTTACATTTTCTTTTGAAGCACTCAAATATGACTTCGTTAATTGTTTTTTTCTTATTTTCTTGCACCGCGAGGAAGTGAATGTTGGAGAAAACCAAGCAAAAAATGTATTACTATATGTGGAATTTCTATTTTTCATATGAACTGCTGTATTCAATGGGTTTTATTTTAATGTTATGCTATTTCTTTAAATTTTATTCTATATTGTTTCGAAACGTGCTGCATTTTTCCTGAAAGCAGTTTATGTCGAAAAACATACATATTTCCGTTAAATGAAAATAACTTGACATACATGATATATTGTTCGAAGAAAACAATAATATTATATGAAAATAATTAATTAATATTAAGAATGGTATTTAAATGATTGTTTTCACAAAATTAAATTGAATTTTTCTTTTTTCTTCAAATAAATGATTCCAGAGAATAATATTTGTTCTTTCAAATAATAAACAATTATTAGATATGAATTCATTTTTAACTTCTTCAATACAAATTATTTACTAAATCATTATGATTTGATTGATAGACAGTCTCTGTTCGTATGTCAGCAACGTCTGTTATGGTATATGATCGTCTTAAAGATCGTGCTCTACAAAAGAAATTAACAACCTCAATCAAAAGTAACAGCAACATATGATATATTTAATAAAAGATTTTTATAATTAATCTTAAAATGAATCTATTTTATCTTATTCAGTCAAATCTTTTGAATAAAAATCATTATTTCATAAATCTAATTTTTCATCATCAAATAAACAACGGTTCAAGTTCAATTATCGATTATTTCTATATTTACAGTTGCTTTTGTTTTCTAATGTAGACTGATGTGAATATTAAAATGAAAAAAAACAAAAAAACGAAATAAATTATAACAATTTTCTTTGTCATTATAAAATATTTTTTGAGTATATTTACATGTTTTATATTAAGAGTACAATACAATAATTGATAACCATTAAACAAGTTTTTTAATCAATGAGATATTAATTTCTGTATTTAAAAACGTTCTCTTTATTTTTTTTAATGAAAAAACTCAAGTTATTTTTCGTTGAAATATGCATTGGAGATACATCATAGCGATGGTGAGTAATAATATTTATTAAAGATTCATTTACAGTCAATTCACACCCACATACAAACAAGAAACGTGGCTAGCTTTAGAGAAGCACTACGCATTTTCTTCTCACAAACTCCGTTGTAATTTTGTCTCTTTTGCGGTTAATTTCTCTGTGAAATACTACGGTTTTTTTTATCGAGTCACTGCTAAATTTTCACTCCTGTGAAGACGAATTTTTCTCACTTCGAAATTCATGAATTTTCTTCCATTCACGACACTGAACTTGAAAATGTGTCATCGATACGCGTTTTACTATCAGCATAAAGTTACATGCTTTGTTTCTGTTGGTGATTTGGTCGTTAGGTAGAGATAGAAATAAAACTGTTTTATCTCTGTAGAAGAGACCATGCCTAATCATATAACATAGTCAAGTTTCTCGTTTCAAACAAAATTCACGAACATCTGCTCCAGAAATTCGATTTCTATTGGTTTTTCTGGCGATCAATAATGTTTCAAATCACATAAACAATGGGTTCTAACTTCTTTTATATGACTGCTTTTGGTGCATCAATCTTTTCAAATCTCGATTTATACGCACTGTTAGCCACTATTAGAACTTCGAGATAAAGGACAATCAGATTCGAACGTCTTGACTCAGACTAACCTTAAAGAATCATTTACACTGTAAACCCGATTTATATTGAACAGTGTATCAATTTCAAAAAATCTTCAAAAATACTTATAAAAATGAAACTGTATGGAACAAACTCTAGGAATTCAGTAATGACATCAAATATTATCAAAATTTATTCGTACTACATGAAAAGATCCTGAAGTCTCAGGAGATCCAACAAACTCTAGACAAATCTTTGGGTTCATTTGAACAAAGAGAAAAATGTAGCCCATCTATCAAGCAGTGTTGTACAAAGATTGGCAGATGCAAAGTTCGCTTTGCGTTGAAGTTTTATCGCAAACCTCTCTTATAATGCTGCAGTGTTGAAAAAAAAATTATAAGAGCTGAAAGTTTGCTTCTGTTATACTATTTCACAGAATGTTTCTTTTCCTATTACAATATATCTTCAAAAACAAGATCAATCTGTTACAATATCAGTTTTATAGAAGTGTTGTAGTATCTCTTGAAAGCAAACTTTTTTATAAAAAACAACTAGCAATTTGTTTACCAGCATCAATGACTCGTATCACACTATCGTTAAAATTATTCTAAGTCTAGTGCTCATAGACATAAACATTCTATCTGAAGCATGTGGAATCAAATTTTGAATGTTCAAGCGCTATTCATTGTTGTGTTTTTATGCGCAAGTTTACGACATACTATGACTGTGGTTAAAACGTTCCTTTCATTTGTTTTTTTATCAATGAGTTGCTATAAACAAAAAACAAACGAACAAATTGTGTAACTTATGCTATTAGCTCATTTTCTTTACTAGTCTTGCTTTATGCTTCAAGAAGACGTTTATGATAAACACGTGACGATAGTAAAAAAACATCGCTATTTTTCTTACTTCTTACTTCGTGATTGTAATTATAGATAATATAATTACACAATGTTTCATATGAATAAGCATGCAGTCGTTCACTGAATACTGCATATATATTTTACTAAATAACTCGCTAATAGGAAAAAAAGCACAAGTAACATTAGATTGCGATGACAACTTTATGTACGTCATGTGGCCAACAAGTTTTATTTTCTTCAAAAATTTATAAATGCCGTCAATGCACGAATCACTATTTATGTAAACCATGCACAAAACTTGATCGTAATCGAGCAATTGCTCAATATCATACCTTCGACAAAATATCAAAATCTAATAAAACCAGGGAAGAATCGGCAAAAGCATCGTTGAATGTGGTTCATCAACAGCAAAAAGTTAGTACTCTTGCTAGTCAAATGAGATGACAAGATTTTTTTTTTATTAATCATATTTCATTGTAGACAAATTCATCAATTTTTGATAGTGACGACTATTTGCAAGGTGCTCTAGTTTATTGTCAGCATTGTCATCAAATTTTTAACAGCGTCAATGTATTTTGTTTTAAATGTGATCAATGCCCGACTCATTTTTGTTTGTGCAATGAGTGTTTACCTCAAGCACAAAGTTTTCATCCTTCTATACACAAATTTTCAAAGCTACCGACAGGTGATGATATGGTACGTTTAATACGAAGTCATTATCATTTGGACATCACGTGTGATGGTTGTTCGACATCATCATTCAATGGTACCCGGCATCAATGTGAAGAATGTATGCCAAGCTTTGATTTATGCGATAATTGTTTTGGAAAAAAGCACACACACCATAAATTCAAAATCGTTCCCAACCCACTAATATATGCGGGCAATCAACAGGAGCTAGCAAAACGAACTCTTGATTTAGCAGGCTTGAATAGTGATCCTCAATGGCGCGATCCATTATCTGGTTGGACGAAAGTCGATGCCGAACGCATTCTAGAACAAGCTAATGCAGACGAGAAAGCGTATAAAACTCGTCTCGGTGAAATAACACAGGCTGCCAACATAAAGCTTGAACAAGCACGTCAACGTTTACAAGACACTATAGATTTTTCATGGAAAATGACATTGATGAACATATCAAATATGTGATTGATAGTTTATGAATAATACGGCAAAAATAGCTGGTATCATTTTCTCGTATTCTCGCTTTATTAAATCACCTTGATCTAATTTATCAAACATTATTTTGTTAATAACCAATATTTTATCAAGAGTTCTTTTTTCTTGCATTAAATCTATCTGTGTACTTTTTTTTTTATGAAAAATATTACAAATAAAATTATAACGATATACTAATGAGTAATTATCAGCACAACTTACCCAGTTCTAATGTTCTCAGCACTCAGCTCTATTAAGTATTATGTTAAGATGATATAATACAAAGGTAAACAGTCTGTAACAAATTTAATAATTCTAACGCAAACTTATGAAAGAAATTTCGTAGTAGAAGTCAATATGTTGGTTTAGAGAGTTCTTTATACAGTTGTTGTAAGAAGTTTCAAAAGAGATGTTAAAAAGACTAGTTTGGCGCATTGTATAAAGACATTTCAGAGAGACAGAGAGAGAGAGAGAGGCGTCGAATGCTTTGGAGAGACAGTTGTATAAGTTGTTCAAATGATTGTTCTTATGCATAGACATATTGAGCAAAATCTCAAGTGCCATTTTATGGTAATCACTATTAATATTCGACCTACCTTAGCTGAACTTCTTATAAGTATGTTCTTGAATAAGTTCTTTGGTTAAGAAACATATCAGAATTTGCCATAGAAGTTTAAAAATCAAGTTCTCATTCGGTTCTTAAGGGAAGAAATGTCAAGGATTTTCCGAAATTTTTAAGAAACTAATTAATCGTAAGATATTGATGAGCTGGTTTCTCGTAGTAGATGAAGAACTCAAGAGAAGAAAATCTAGTTCTTATCTTGAAATAAATCACTTCTTATATGCTGCAGAAGGCTTCGTTTCTAGCGCATCTCTAGCATTTTTATTTGGTAGTAATTGATTTCATATGAAATGAATTACGTAGTAACTAAGACAAATAAGACATGTAAAAACAAATAATAAAATGCATCGTAATACATGAAACATCAGACTAATCACCTTTACAAGAGTTGAAATATTTATAAAAGAAAACACAAAATAAAATTAAAAAAAAACAAAACAAATCATACGGTCAAAAGACAAGATGTGATTCAAACTAATACTCGCGAAAATGATGAACAAATGAGTACTACAGAACTCCTGTTCTCGTATCACTTACTTATTCTTGCCGCTCGTTGGCTCGTGTACCGTGAAATCATCCGAGTTAGTTGGTGGTAAATACAACACCATATAATTAGAATTAGTGAGTATTGTTGATCGAGAGAAGATACTTAATTTAGTCAAAAGAAAGTTATAAGAATAGAACGAAACGATACATATATTCCTTTAGTAGTTGAAAGCGATCTTGAACATGACCCGATTGTTTCAAGATTGTTCGCATCACCATTGTCGATTATGAGAGTGAGAGGGTTTATACAAAGCGCATTTTATCAGAAAAAGCTTTTGAGACATAAAAAACTACACATGAGCTACTTTAATTGTTTCATTGCTCAAGTTGTTATGGTCACATGTTCTGGTCGACTCTAAATGTAGAAAACTGGTTCATCAGTAGTAAGAATTTTATGGAAAAATAGTTGAGTTTTTTAAAATTTCTATATATTGGCAAGGACAGAAAATCATTATTCCATTCGCCTGAGATGTCACTCGTATTTTTCCAGTTCAACACGAAATCTCGCACAATCAGTGCATTCAGTAACTCATGAAATTATAGATAGCAATAAAAAATGTAAGCGAAGCTAACAGTCGATTCGAGGTTTTTTCAAAATGGTTCATTCCAACCTTAAAGATATAGATTTTTTCCTATAGGAAAAAAGCACAAAACACAATTTTTTGGTCTGACGATTTGCTCCTCGAAGTAAGTCACACATGAAACTTTTCTCATTCAATGCACCTCGACGAGCTTTATCGAATGGTATGTGTCTCATTTGTGTGAAAATAAAACTTTATTGATCAGAATATCTCAAGTGTACACCTTTTCGCTACTACCTTTCTGCTTTGTCTAGGCATAGTGTTTCGTTTGAGGCAACCTTAAAATATAATTGATTCAAGGCTTCGGCTCAGCTAAATTGAATAATATATTGAGCATTCTTGAAAAGTTTTGTAGCTCTATACGATAGAGTCAAACTTGTTTTTATAAAGAAACGATTTCTGGATCGAATATTTTGATGATCAGTTCACAATAAAATATTCGTCATTGTAAAAACATGCCAAATTGCATGGAAATCGTGAAGATCAGTTGAACTGTACATGTGTTTATAGTTCTTTTCAAGCGTAAAACTACTGGTTATCTGAAAATTTGTGAAGGTATACTGTGAACGTTAGTGACGACCTAACGTGATTGTATTGCTTGATGGACTAAGCGAGCAAATGGTGTCTATTCGATCATGCGCATTACACTTATGCTCTGTTTGCTTATGATTAAAATTATCACTTTGTGTATTTATTTTTTCGAATAACTATATATATATATATATAAAAGTAGAATAATAGGTAGAAAATTAAAGTTATCTAAAATTTAGCTAATATGTGCAGTGGGAAAGTTAGTCTTTCAAAGAGTTCTACCTTCGAAAAGTCTCACTCAAAGTCTTACTAGAAATTGATGACGATCGAATTCTATCTTACCTGCAAACCATTCTTGATCGAATATCTCGTCCCAGTTTATTAAGTGCCAATTGGGGATCACATTTTCAAATGCCTCTATTCAACAACAGAAGTTTATATGTTCGTCGACTATTTATAAAGAGAATTACTCAAAATTTCATTAAGCAATGGTTCAATAATGAAGAGTGCATTCAATTGTATGATTCGCAACTTTTCACGCAATACCAAGTAATTGTAAATTCCATTTCATAATCGAAAGAATAGTTCACCTGCGAACATTGAACATCGTGTATGCAGGTGACAGTTAGAATTGATCATTGACACAAGAGAAACTTATCCAATGGTTAGAAGATTAATTGCCATCCATATGGAAGATTGAAAGACAGTTAAAATTGATTCGAATATGAATTTGTCAATAATCAAAACATAGCTCGATAATCGTTGGGTTCCGTAGAAAGAATCGCAGAAAAGAGTTTTTAAATAGGCTGTAGATTGTAGTATAAAAGTGAAGCCAGAGTCGCATCTCAGCGGCTAGACACACTAATTATAAGACTGCATAGATACTCATAGTCCATCAAAAATTCTTTTCTAGGTAACAGAGTTTCTCATATAGGTAATCAAGCACGAAAATCTTTCTTAGATGGATTGACACTTCTGAATCAATAGATGAATTAGCCAGTTTTAACTAAATGGTTAGTTATGAAGAAAAATGAAACATTAATAGATAAAAAGCTTGATAGCGCAGTTTCAGATGGAACTGAAATGTGAAAATCCTATATTACTATCCTAAAGACAACAAATTTTAAAGTTGAGGAAGTCTCTTTAGAAAAAAGGAATAGATCGAAACGAATGCATCTCTGTCAAGCTATCTATTTCAGATATTTTCTGTACTTTTCAATTGTCTGGACGCTCTTCTTTTCTTCTTCTATCGTTTTTATACGGGATACGCCGTAGTGATCCGAAATCAACATCATCCCATACGAAATACTTCTTATGAAACCGAGTGTCACCTCGTCTCATGCATTTATTCAACTAGTTTAGAAATATGCTACATTGCATAATTTATGGGTGTTGGTGTGGGTATAAACAAATAGAATACTACCATCAGCACTCTTATTCAATCCCCTCGATCTCCCTGATCTCCTAATATTCATTCATTTCAAGGTACTCACGAGCAGTAGATCTAGAACATCAATATTTCTTGAACTTCTCACATTTCTTGGATTCCTTGATTTCCATGATGCTCTCAATTTGTTGGTTACATCAAATATGAAAGTGTCGTGAATCCTTATATGTGCCTTGATTAACTAGAATTTCTAGATTTCCTTCAAAAAATCTTAATTTCCATAGTTTCCATGATACTCAGAAATTCCTATATTTTCCTTGAATTCCGAATTCTTGGATAGTGAGGATTGCTGGTTTAAATATTTCTAGTGAGATAACATCAGAAAACATTTTTTCTGCTAAAGATTTTTATGAATGATATAATGATAAAATGAAAACAAAACAGAACAAAATAATTTTTAATTCATCATAAAAATAACATCATTTTTCAACTAGATATACCAGAAAATATTTAACTTCAGCTACAACTTGATTGTCCTTAAAATTCTTTTTTCATCTATTGGCGATGTAGTAGTACTTGATACATTTCATCAAAGGCAAATTCAACACAATTGAATATAACGCACATGTTGAAAGTATTGATTTCGAACATACTTACGAGATCTTTAGTTAGCTGTCATATTTCTGATGAAAATCTATCTTTCCGACAACTTAAAAATGGACAAGATGATTCCGGTCCTAGTGGAACCTGGATCAAAAACGACCGGTTTCGCTCATGTCTAAAGGAGTCACTATGAATGCTAGTCATCGTATATGTGAGAGATAGTATGTTCGAATCTAGATGCCATTATCCCTTGTACTACGTAGTCTTGGACAAATTATGTACAGCCAGGATCTTCGTTCATTTATCGAATGGTGCACTTAGGACGTTGTTCTGTTTAGCTTTGTGATATGTTTTCTCGACATGTTGTTATAGTGCTTGTATAGGAACTCCTAGTTGATATTTTCAATGTCGACTAATAATAAACTAACAAATTTTTAGAAGTCATAACGATCTACCAGAAAACTTCAAATACATGAATTTATTAAAAGTTAGAAAGAAACAAATATGCAAACAAGCTCTGTACTGTTGAAAAGTATCACAATATAATTGTTCAACATTGTTATAAAAAATAAGATTTGTTATATGTAATTTCGAAAAATATCTTGAGCAATTCTAAAATAGACATTCTAATGAATTATATAGATCAGGTACTTTTCTTTCTTAGATAAAAATCCTACTCAGTTTGATTTTGTGTCGAAGTTCACCCAAAAAAATCAGCACTTAATAAAGATCCAATAAGATTAGCCAAATGAGGTAACGAGGAAGAATCTATAAAAAAAAAGTAATTGTGCAGCTAAAAGGACTCCCCATCAGAATTAGTAGACCCGAATGCTTCAATGAAATCACTTGAATGAGAATTTGTGGAAAACTAAGACGTTCAAAACCAAATTTCTCGTATCTACTCGAAGTTTTTGAGAAAAATTTTTATTGAATAGAGCCAAATGATGCGTTTCCAAACTCTCCATGAATTGCGGTTTTGGAGCATCTTGGTTTCTGAAGATCTTGGCCTAAGCGATTATGTTCTTTATTGTCATTATACTAATACAAAAATATCTGAGCTGAAAAACTTTACGATATTGTGAGAGATGTACAAGAAATTAAATTTTACTCATTTTTGTTTTGAAAACTATTATGATTTTCATATTTTTTCATCTTTGAGTTTTTTTCTACTTATTTTGGGTGAGTTTCCTTCATCATTCCCTCGAAAAGGTGTGGGTGTAGTCCTAGTCTAGAGAAAACTATTCCAGAATTGAATCTTATCATATCTAAAACCTTCTTTAATACTCGCAGTTGTTTTCATTTATACGCTTAAAGTCATAAAATATTTAACTATAATCTTTAACTACAGTTGGAACAACTTCTTTTCTCGTAGTTTCCGATAGAGCTGGATATGGATGTGGGTCCGAAAGAATAGAAGACTCACACGTATGCGCCCATACCAACATCCACAGCAACTATATTATTCAAAACAAAATGCATTGAATGGTAATAATGAAGTATTTATAAAAATCAAGAGTATCTCGATCATTCTATGTTACTCTGATTCGCTATTGGTGAGAGGCAGAGGAAGAGTTCGATATCTCACACTATAGCTATGTTTTTATTTAGTTGAATTACGAAAGAATTTCTGAGATTCTGGGTCAATGTGATCTGCACGCTGATATGAGTACAAAAGTGAATCATTATTTTGGTTTTATTCTCTCTTTCAGTTATGTCGAACGAGAAAAATACATTTCATCCATGCATTAGAATAATATTCATTTCTTTGCACGCACAATCGAGAAGGTAAAACGACACTTTACTTCATTCATATAAAAAAAACATCATATTTCTCATTTTTTTTTCTTCTTGAAAATATTCTGTAGCATGAAAAAATTTATTTCGTAAGTCTGCGTTTTACTCGATTCTAAATACTGTAAATTTAACTTTTAAAATCGAATCGATACCTTTTTTTTTACAATCGATGTCATCGTTTTCTAAATTTATTCGGTAAAATTTCTATATATAGTCAATAACAACATGTCCTTGCCTAGCATGCTCCCCGTTTTCTGGAATTTCTCCGGCATAACTGAAGAAAACAAAACTTCATCACTTTCAGACCAAATAGATCTCAACTAGTCGAGTAAACTTTGTTATCGACTTTAAACTGTTATATATGACGCAAGCAATGAAAATGACTCAATTCTTGTTCCTTATTTAACCAATAGGAGTGGCTGGAGAAAGGAAAAAATTTTTGGTTCAGTAGTCGAAACGAATCACAGTGGCTGACGTTTTTTCATCATGTTTTTTAAGTATATTTTCAACGGATGATGTCGCTAAAATACTTGTTAGGACTACATTTTGTCAAATCTAACAAAATGCAACAAAGTCATAGTTAGAAATAACATAAATACAGTCACTCATAATCGCCTGAGGTACATGAGAGAAAAGTTTTAGTTCCATCAACTGTTGTCTTCTTGTAGAAATATGGACATCAGTCATTTGAGGATAATACGGAATTATCAATGGGGAACTCCATTGTTTCAATATTTCAGTTGTCTGTGTTTGCTTGTGACTAGAGCGATCATCGACGACAGAAGAACTTTTCCAATATAGACGAATCGAAACCAAAAATAACTTCATAACGTGTTGTTTTTCATAAAATAGGTCACACTGAAGTCGATATTTTTTCATAATCTTATTAGCAATTAAACCCGTTCGTTAAAATAATCAAATTAAAAAAAAATAAAATTTCAGGATTCTGAAAGAGTGACTTCTCTTAAGTAATAAAATCATGCAACTATTAATTATTATTTAAAATTGGAAAGGGTATTCTTAGCTATATTAGAACCCACATGATGCACATAGTTTGTTTTTTTTTTTTTTATAAATTTAACCCAATATTTACTTTTATATTTTCTAGAACTGTTGCCAAAAAAATACTGCAAAAGCATTTCACTGATTTATTTGATTAATTAATCATCATTTAGTTTGACATGGGTCAACAACTGTCTTCGACTAATTTGAAAATTCCTGATTTATTGGCTGTCAATAATCAACATTCAGATAAGATATTATCTGATGGTCGAACAGAAGATGTTCATTTATTTTTACCCTTGGATATCATCAATTCAATCAGTAAAAACATAATCTTATCTCATGATGATGATCAGAAAAGTTCGATTGAACTACCAATTACAAAACAAACATTGATCAAACAAATTCGCAGTGATCTATCCTTACTAACGAATTCACCTGAACTAGATGCATTCAACACGGATATGGCAGGAATAATTCAACAAGTATTCGATCATATTGCGACAACAAATACAACTTTACAAAATGCTATACAATCAAACATTGACAAAGAACAACAATTGAAAAAGTCTTATGCTGAAAAATTAAAGGATGATGAAAATACAACTACTTCTATATTTGATCAACCATTTGTCGATTCTTCTAGCCCAGAGAACGTATCAAATGAAAATCAAACAAACAATAATTCGATCAAACAACAACAATTACATCAATTTCAAGCTGAACAACTCTCATTTTTTGCTGTTCAATCGTTAATATCTATGCTACTGATGTTATTTCAATCAGTACAAAAATATGATTCTACTATTATTCATCAAATGCTCATTTTGACAAATCAACTTGTCGAACAAATTCCACTGAATTATCTTTCTCCAGATGTTTACAAAAAATCAAGTAATCTATTTAAATCTTTGAAACCATTGGCCAAATATATTAATCAATTTTCAATACAAACTGAAATTGATCCTATTGCAGCAAATCAATCGATTACAATTTTGTTGAATTTTTCGATTATCAAAGGATCATTCAAAGATGTTCTACCATTAATAAGAAAATTAATATTCAATACAACTGATATTTATGACATAAGAAAATTATTCATAGAATTGAATAAAGATTTAACGACAATTACATCAAAGCATGGTGCAGATAGCGACGGAACATCCAAAGAACAGGATCAAACTGGTAAGAGAAATTCATATAGAATTATTCAAATGGGAATATTTGAGAAAAGTTCATCAAGTCTTTCGTGTGTTCAACTGAAAAAGATACTCATTTTTTTATTAATGTTCTATCCATACATTTTGATATTGATCACTGTTGACGTAAGAATTTCTTGTGCTCAATCAGACTAAACATATACTAGCTACGAATACATGTGTATGTCACAATCATAGTACCGAGGTTCAAATAAATATTTTCGAGACAACACTTCGATCATTCTTCTAATTAGTTACTCTGAATTTGATTTCTTGTAGAAGCAGCATTATCCACAAAAAACCTATCCGATATTGAACGTAATTGTTTGGCCTCATTGGAATATCTCAAATCAATTGAAGTGTTTCCAAGTACACAATTAATAGCATTAAACGATCGAAAATTCACTGGTCAATTCATATCTTCAATTTTACTTGTTCATATCGATTTACACAATCAACTTCAGGCGAAATTACAATTTGAACGTGGTTCTATGATTGGTTCGTTTTCATTTGAATTTGAACCAGAAACATTCAAATATTTATATGAAATAATCGAACAATTAACTATGATGCAATCATTATCGAATGATAATCTCGAATATATCTTGACCGTTTGTCTACGATTATTTATGACACATTTTAAATTTTTAATCGCTTCAAATATTGACAATTTTCATGATTTTATGAACGAAAATGACATTGAAAAATGGTTCATATTAATATCGAAATTTGCTTTCGATGATAAATCAGAAGAGAGAAAAAAAGAAGCATCAAAAATTTTAATTGATTTAATTGATAAGAAACTATTATCATTTCCCAAAATGTTGACATTTTTTCATACATACATCATGGAAAATAAATATCCAATATTAATTGAACAATTATTTGATAAATTAACTCAAAATGTATTCATATATAAATGGATCGAAGTTTTATGTGATGATCGTAATATTCAAGATAGAGAATTAGCATACACAGTCTTACATTCATTTATGGACATTGTCCTAAAACCAAATTCGATGGATTTTGAAAAAGGCAATCGATTACTTGAGATCCTACTCATGTTTCAAGAATTGTTATTCGTTCATTTGAATAATCAACCGATGGATGTATTAGATGAACTCGAATCATCTGCTCTATCAACACTTACTATGGAATATACGACACGTGTGATCAAATATTGTATTCAACAAAGCGTTAAAAGTGTTTTATTAGATTCACTTCTTCTTGGCTTATGTACTTTCACTGAATCGAAATTTAATTTTGCTATCATACAACCAATTTTTGCTGCTATTCTACCTGTATTTGCTGAATACTTATTACAAACAACAATCGATGTAGACGATAAAAATATTTATCTAATTTCATGGCTAGTACCAAAGATGAGTCATCGATTAATTGTCGGTCCACCACAGAGTCCATTGGAGAAAAAATATAATATAACATTGAAGTTACCATTATTTGCTGGTGGATATGAAACATTGACAACAGACGACAATCCATATTTATCGAATTTATTCAAATCTGATTTAACTGTTTACAGTCAATTTGTAGTACCTTATCGACGGCAACAATCAGTACTAGACAGTGAGTTTTTACTCTCGGTTTATAATAATACCCATCAAGGTGCACAATTAATTTCAAAAATGAAATTATTCACTCGACATAAACAACATATTTTACAAAAATCAATTGAATCAAACGCTGATGATGCATGTGCTGCAATATTTGCAGTTTATATCAAACATTATCGTCGTATTGATCTAGCTCAACATGAATTAACTCAACCGATCAATCAAAAGCCACATGGTAAACTTCTCTCATTGTACGAATATGCCAATCAAGTACGAACAGTTTTTGCTACGACCAAAGCTCAAGATGGTGATTGTAATGAACTTTATAAAAAACTTAAGAGCGATGCATTACTATTACTCGTATCAGTCAAAGAGAGTTGTTTCATTTCAACAATTAAAGAAAATCTCTCATTACCAATAGTTACTACCAATCAATCTAAATTACAACGACAAAAATCACGTTGGACAAAAGCAAAATATATTATTCGACTACTTCGTCATGTATTGAATGCTTGTATACGATTGAAATATTTGATGTTAGCAAAAAAACAAGCTGTTGAACAAAAGAAGGATAGTGAAAGTGTCATGCATCAAGCTATTACTAATTGTCTATATGGAAATGATGCATCAATATCTATAATAAATGGTAAATTGAAAATTCAATTCGATGAAGTTGTCAAATGTTTGATTCGAGAATATCAAAGAGCCATGACTAGATGGATTACATATGTATTTATTTATCGATTTATCGAACAAATAATCACTATTAAAGATAATAATCGAATTCTAAATATTCTAGTTATAACTTTAATGAATGTGAAAAGTAATAATTTAGATTGGCATTATCTCGAAAATATTCAAGCATCAAATAATCAATTAAAAGAAGATATTGGACATCAATATTATTCAATTGTCAAAAAAGTATTATCATTTTCAAGTGAATCCAATATGAAAACAGTGTTCATGTTTTGTTTATTTAATATGTTAAATCTATCCTATGATTCAATGGATTTATGTCATGTAAATCATTTTCAATTTATTGAAGAACTATTTAATTCGTTTGTTAGATTTGCTCAAATGGATTCAACTAACACTATTTCAAAAGATATGAAACTGACAGCATTCAATTGGTTTCGTCTACTTGTATTGAACTTATGCGAAAATATTGAAATAGAAGAATTCCGAAATACACATTTTGGTAGTCGAAAATTTCATCATATTTTACAACAACAACGTGATTTGATCTTTAACAAGTTAATTTTAACTGAATTCAAAGAATTACAACAGAATAAATCCACATCAACATCCGAAAAAGAACACGAAAATCCATCATTAAAAAATGCATCCATTAATCATTTTATTACATCATCAACGTTTGATATCGATGCATGTATCAATCAATATTTAATGCTTTTACTTCGATGTGTTCATTTGTATGATCATATTCGATCAAATTGTGCTACAATGGAATGCATTCAACAACTATTGAATTTATATCATCAAAGTCAACTTCTTAATACTCGTCTATTAACATTAAAAATTCTACGTGATCTATTGATATTTTTACCGGACAATACAAACGAAACTACACATCGATGTTTTATTGAGAATTTATTAACGGATATTTTATTTTCTATTGGTCAAAATTTTAATTCATTGGATACAACTAAAATAGAACTCGATATTGTCATTGAATTTATCTATATCTATCGTACGATAATGTTACAAAATTCACCATGGCAAAAAATGGCGACTAAATTAATTATTGATGCAATTAAATCAAGTACGAATTTTGATTGGACATCATTGGAATCTGTTGAAATACGACAAATGAATTTCTTTCTCGCATCATTATGTATCTTAGGTGGTTATGTTGAACCATATTGTTTAGGTTCAACAGTAGAAATCTATGCAGTTGATAAAAATATCCATGAGTCCGAATCAGCAACTATCATTGAAATCGATACAAATACTCTTGAGTCGGATTCATCTGATATTACACCTTATCTCATACAATATGCTGCAACAAATCATATTCAATCGGTTTCATCGAATCAATTACGCATCACTACTAATATTCTTCCACCAAATCTCGCACTTTTACCAATAGATAATGCAGTTCATACTATTCTTGATACATTAGGCTTACTTATACAAATTAATACATCGAAAACTGATTCATTGATATTATTACAAATAAAACGTCGTGCTATAATTGCATTCTATGCATTATTAAATCATAAGTCAATTATCGATATTTTCATGCAAAAACCGTATGCATCTCTTATTGCTAAATTATCGATATCAATTGACAATCTTGATTCAAACACAAGTATAAAACCGAACGATTTACGATTGTTTAATCGATTACATCTAGAACAATATAATTTAAGTTTAGATAAATGTCAGAGAACAAAACAAATAGTGGAAGATGAAATTGAAATTATTCATAATATTAATAGATGGAATAAGATAAAAATTAATCGTGATGACATTATTCTACAGTATCTATCTGCGACGACTTCGATAGACGAAGGATGGAAACCTATTGCATCTAAAAGAGAAATACAGTCATATAAACGGGGTAGAACTGGAAATAATGAAATTCGTATTGTTCCTCTATCTGTCAACGAAAATATGCCAGCCTTAGAAGAATGCGGTAATTACCACAAATTTAAAGGAAGAGTTAAAATAACTGATAGTACTGGAAATATTTACTATTTGACTTTTTTTATGGATAATATAGCAGTGACCGAAGGAAAATGGTACTATTGCGTGAAACTTCCATTAGGTGGTTCAGCACGAATTGGCTGGGCAGCGAACGGATTTATTCTTACACCAGATACTTTAAAACGTGTTGGTGACGATACATTTTCATGGGGCTATGATGGGTCATCAGGATATTGTTATTATAATGACACGCATAGTTTTCGTGATGACATTCGCTGGAAAGCAGAGGACGTCTGTGGTTGTGGTATTGAAATCGATGGGGTAAATACAACTATCAAATATTGGTTAAATGGTCAATTTTTAGGTACGGCATTTTCACACTCGGAAAATAATAATATTCAAGGAACTATCAAAACGAATTTATTGCCCAATGAACTTAATACTTCTTATTTTCCTGCTGTTCATGTAGAAGTCTATGGTAATGAGAATAATACAGGTGCTTTTGAGTTTATATTTAGCCCAGAAGACATGACTCAATGTCCTTTACCGAAAGGTTACAAGCCATTATTAATGCCGACATTAATTACAGTGGAAAATATATTAGTAGCTTATCCATTTAGTGCCTATATGATTGGTACTGATATTCATCAATACTTCTATACGGATCGATGTTTAAAACATGATTCGACTGAAAAGAAAACTTCTTTGATACGTGATTTTGTCAATGATCGTCATTACGAAGTTTCATTCAATATCGATATGATAACAACTGATCATCATCTATTGAAACTATCAAAAGATAATGATGGTTTTCCATTGTCGATTGATAATTATCAATCCTTGACTATTAGTTTTGATTTTGAACTTATTCCAACAGATGAAATGAGAAATCTTCCGGATGAACTCGATATTATATTATTTGCTTTAGAGAACGAAATGTTTTCCATTCGAATATATATGAATGATATGAATGATGATTTTATGGATGAAACAATGAAATATCGGCAACGTGTTGCTATCCTGTTTCAAACAAACGAACAAACGAAAGTTTTCATTAATAATAAATATCAAACATTGAATTATTGTCATAATTTTGATCCGACAAGAAAATCAGAATTAAATCTGCAACTATTACCACATATAAATGTTGGAATTCGAAATCTAGGTGTGTGGAAATATGCACTTTCGGAAGAACATATTCGACGTCTCTTCACTTATGGTCTCTTATATGTTGCTGTCGACTATCAAAAATTGAGTGAATATCGAAAACAAGCAAATACTTTCGTATTTACAGCAGAGCAAAAATATTTTACAAATGACACATTAGTTCCATTCAATGAACCATTTGAAGAAAATCTATGGCAGCAAAAAAAACAATTCATTGATCATGATGAATCGACCTATTTTAAGACAATAATCGGAACTAATCAATCAGTCGTACAATTCTTTGGAAATAAAACTTACCTAATTTTAAACACTGCAAACCAAGTGTGGTCTGAATATACATTGATTCTCGATATTTCGATACCCAGTTTTGCATCAAATAATGAGGCCCAATTAACATTGTTAACATTGGATAGACAATCAGAAATTTATCTAACTCATGACGGTCATATTTGTCTATCCGGAGGACATCAAAGTTCATCAATAGTGAAACTACAAGAATACATTCGTTTGCTTATTTCTGTTCAACAGACATTTGTCCATATCTATGTCAACGGTTCGTTAGAACTCAAGGCATCAATTACAGAGGATCAATTTGCAACGAAATTGAAGCGTATCGATTTGTTTCGAGAGGCAGATTTGACTAAGAACACTACCGATAATGATCAATTACGAATTGAATGTCGAGCGATAACATTTTGGAATAAATCCACCAATACTCTTCGTCCATCATTAGAGAAATTGATCCAATCAACTGAATATTCTTTAGATCAAGTAGTTGTTCCACCTTTTTGGATTTTATCAACAGGTCTTATCGGCATTGGCTACAAAGAAGAATCAATCGAATATGTAATGAAACAATATAATACGACAAATATTCAGTTTATCGATACCATTCTACGAGAACAAAATCAAGAAATAGAAAAAATACATCGAAATGAACGACAACAGAAAAAAATCAACGTATTAACACGATTGAATTCCTATGATGAAAATGGAACATTAGCAATGTTGATGAAATCCGACAAGGATACAAATGATTTGTCAATATCGACATTATCTAATGGCATGTCATCAGATGATGATAATGATATGACATCCGAAAAGGAATGGTATCGTAAAACTGTTCGTGATGTAAGTATCAATGAAAAACTAACTGAATGGATGCGAGATAAAACAGAGATAAGTCAATTAACAATGAATGATCCTCGCTATAAATTTGTTGATTTAACTAAATCAGATTTTGAAGAAACGACAATTGACAATGAATTAAGAAAGAAAATGAAAATATCATTACATTATTCACATCGACAAATACCACGAAAAACTTATATAGATTTAAGTACAAGTTGTGAATACGGACTAATAACAATTTATACACGTTATACAATATTGAATATGTTAAAAGTCTGGTTCACTGATGATCATCAAAGTTTATTTCCACTTGATAAATTTGGTGATGGAAATTTTATTGTAACATTATTACGATTGATGGATTATCACTATAATTGTGCGCGTACACATGTAGATGAAACTATCAATAGAATGAAATCGTTAACTATGTTGATATTAAAATTTGAATTAAAAGAAATATTAAAATCAATGATAGATAAACAAATTACTGAAGATATATTGAGTAGAAAAGCTCCGCTATTTTATCAATTACAAAAACACATTGTTGAAGAATTGATTCATTTTCTTGCTGAACCATCTTTAATTGTTATGAATAATTATAATGATGAAAATATCAATGAACAAATGTTAATTAAACAATCAAATTTAGAATTTCTTTTAAATATTGTGAATCTCTTTCTGGAATTGTTGACGGATCTTGAGATGGCAAAATACAATATTGATCAGATGATTCAATTACTATTTCCACCATTATTTATCAAGATGCTGTTCGATCTATTTTTATTAGTACCATTACATCGATGTAAAATATTCATTCTCCATATTTATACTACGTAAGTACATTCGAGTTGAACGAACAAATTTGTAGTCAGTGAATTCTTTCTAATTATTTTGTGAAGCACGATATAAAACATTAGTAATATCAGCTACATCGTGTTTCAAATTCTAATACCAGTGAAATTCTGCTAACACCTATTATAATAAATTCTCTACGAATATCGATGAGTTTAGTGAAAAAATAAGAATTCGAATTTTATTTATGTTTTTAAAATAGATTAATTCAAACAAGTGAAAATTTCAAACTTCATAGCAATATTCAACATTTTATTCTACAGCTTTTTATTGAATTAACAACAAACAAAGCTTGTCTAGATAATTTAACATTGAAAAATTTTCGAATTGCTATCATGGATCTAGCATTTTCTCTATTCGGAAGAGAAAAAGAATTGATTTTAGCATTAAATGAATGTTCAGCAGAAGCACGTGATATATCGATAATTCTCGATGTTATCAATGTTTTAACGAACAAAACAAAACAATGCCAATGGCCTGAATCACTTTTTACTCAATCGAATACTATTTTAGGCGAGAAACTTTCATTGACCAAAGAAATGATTGACAAAGCCCATGTTCATTTTGATAGGACAGCTGATGGACAACTAATGAAATTTATGAATCAAAATATTAATCTCGATTGGAACCCATTACCACATGAGTCACTTAATCAATTCATCGAAACTCTACCAGCCGAGTCTGTTCCTGATTCAAATAAATATCAATCATTTAGCTATTTACGTGATATACCATCGGTACATATACAAACATGGGCTAAACTTTTCTATTTACTCAATATATTCATTGGAAAAGTCTTACCTATAATTGATTTAAGCTTACCACCAGGCAGTAGTACTCTTACAGATCGAATTCGAGCAGCACGAAACTATATATTACATAGTGCAAAATTTCAATTGTTTACTGATACCTCACTTAAAACTGCATCTGGTACATTATTATCACTAGAAGAGGTAAAATTTGATACTGTCAAAGCTAGTCTTGCTGAGCAGCCTGAAGATACAATGTTTCATCAAGGATATAAACAAATGTATCCTAATGCATCTCGAACATTTCGACGAACGGGTGACGAACGAGTTTGGACGGCTGTTTTTATCGGCATGCATAGTAGTGATGGAGGTGGACCCTTTAGAGATTCATTAACACGTATGTGCAGCGAACTATGTAGTACAAAATTACCGTTATTTATTCTTTGTCCTAATGGGAGAACAAATAGTGGTTCAAATCGTGATCAATGGATTCCGAACGTTTTCCCGCCAGATCGACATATACCAGATGAATTCAAAAATCAATATCGTTTTGTTGGACAACTAATGGGCATGGCAATTCGTACGAGAAACTTTTTAGATGTTCGATTTCCGACTTTACTTTGGAAGCAATTAGTACAAGAAAAAGTTACAATCGAAGATATTGAAGCTATTGACATATCCAGCTTTTCTATTATCAATCAAATGGAAGAAAATATTAAACAAGTAAAAATTCTCAATGAATCTGAAGATGGTAATGCAAACACCGATTGTGATTATTTATTTAGTAGTATCATGAGTGAACTAACATTTGATGTTGTTAGTTCAGCTGGACAAACTTTTGAACTTATTCCTGGTGGCTTTCATATTCCTATAACTGCTGCTAATTTCGAAGATTATTGTATGAGTTATCGTCAATATCGTGTCAATGAATTTCATCGACAAGTTGATTGTATTCGTCAAGGTCTATATAGTGTCGTACCATCGGCTTATTTAACTCTGTTTACTGCAAGTGAATTAGAAGAAGCGGTTTGCGGTAAAGGTTATATTGACATTGAAATGTTGAAACGTCATACATATTACAATAGTGATAATGAGACTACGCCACATATCGTTCGATTTTGGTCTGTTTTAAGTGAGATGTTTAATGAAGAACAGAAAAAACAATTTTTAATATTCGTTTGGGGACGAAGTACATTACCAAATAGAGACGAAAATTTTTCAACGAATTTGCAAATATCTCGTCTGGAAATAACTGGCAATATCGATGATGCCCTTCCGAGTAAGTTTATTGAAAATTTGATATCTATCAAATAAGAGAAAGTTCTAGGTGCACATTTGACAAAGATATATAGCCCTCACAAAGCTTGCTCATATTAGCAATTTATTTCACTATTTATCCACTCGTAACAGTTCCAGAAGAACAACTGATAATATAATCTGATAGATAGATTATTAGTCTCTGTAATATGTTAACGAGTTGGTTGGATCCATCGAATGTTCTGTTCTTTGTGCAAGATTGCTTGGTTAATCTAATGATTATTTGTTAGAAAAATTCGACTGAGCAACATGAGAAGACGTGTCTCTTTCGAGTAACTTCTACAATAAATATATTTGTTTTCTTCTTTATTTCTTTGTGCCTATACAGTACTGACTACACGATTCATTTTATGCTCTATTGTCTTTAATGCACTAAGCTATTATGGAACTAGCAAAATATCTATAAATCATTAGCAGGTCTGTTCATCAGTGTATATTACTAAAAACGCCGTCAAGGTCTCTATTAAATGTCGGAAGAGAAAATTTTGTTTTAAAAATGCTGTGTTTTTTTTTCTCAAATTTCTTGATTTTGAGGGTTCATCATTTCGTAAACACAGCGATACAACGAATGTTCCTTTTCACAAATCGATAGTTCATGAAGTTTAGTAGAAAAGTGCTTTTGACACTTTAAAGTTTCATGCATCATTTGGTTTTTGCAATCGATTTACAAATAGTGCCTGGACGGAGAAACGAAGGCTAAAGAATTAAGATCTTCTGTAATGTTTGCTATTGATAGTAAAAAGAAAAGAAATATAATCATACGGACATTCAAGGTTATAATCCAGTACTTGGCACCTAGTAATATATTAGTCCGACTATATTGAATGACTTTTAGATTAGAAATCAGATCGAAAATTGTTACAGTAGAACTTTTTACTACGAATAGAATATTATTCAGATAGGTTAAACAACTTTCTGTGATAAATCTGTCGCATCCGCACGTGACATTAATAGTTTATTGAGAAGTTTTTAGATACTTGATCAAGATTTTTGAGATTGTACTTTAGCAATGAATTCAATTATTTTATTTCTCTTCTAGAATCGCACACATGTGGATTCGGTCTTGATTTACCTCCATATTCAACTAAAGAAATCATGTATGAACGTTTGAATTATGCTATTACCTATTGTTCCAGTATCGATAATGATTGGAACATGAACTAATCCTCGCTTAGTATTCATTAACTAACTTTAGATTCAAATGCTACATTATGCTTAAGGAACTTCTAACACAATTTCATAACAGGGGTGGGTTTTTTGTTGTAATGCTTGATCTGAATTGATTTCATTTTGTTTATGATATCTATCGTTGCATGAAAACTTTTTTTTTTAGTAGAGCTCAGTTTTATTTTATTTTTAAACCGATTCATTAGAATAAACAGAGCATATGAATAAATGCTATTATGTATTTGAATTTTCTGCTTAGTATACAGATCGAATTGTAGCAGTCTGTTAACAAAATTTAGAAGTAATCAACGAAAATATGTATGCTCAGTCAGAGAGTAAACATATTTAACAATAGATAAAATTCGCTATCATCTATCAAAGATCTAAATACATGTCAGCAAACATCTGCTATGATATTAGAACATTAATAAAAAATAAACATAATTATCAATGAAAGAGACGCAACAAATCATTACTGATATCTCTCAATTGTTATCTTCTGTTGATTGTGGTGTGCATGAGTCTAACAGACAAGTGATGCGCAATAATTGAAGCAGTATATCTCTTCTCCTTGTCTTCCATATCGAAAACAAGTAAAGTTGAATTGAAAAAAAATCTTGTCTGTGCTGCGAATCAAAAAAACTAAACGAAGTTCAAAGACATAGAAAGTATATGATTATTGTTAATATTAGAAGGATGAGTAATAAGTGATACATTCCCATAAGAAACATGCAACTTTTCAGAAGAAATTAGCATTGTCTTATTGAATGGTCAAATCTTGGTCATTGATGATGGATGAATTTAATATTGGAAAGTGCTATTTCAACCGTTACTTTTAGGTTTGTACATGATGATCCCTATATTAGATATGGTTTGAGAATAAATCGATCGGATATATGTTTCTTTCTCAATCTATATAACTTATATTAGGTGAACCATAAATAACTATTATACTAAAAAATTGGACTATCATTGCTTTAGTTCAATCAGTCAGGTTGATCTATTTTTGTAGTGATATAAGCTTATTTTAACTATGCTTTTTTCGTACGAATATGAAATATAAATAAACGTTCCGAAAGAAAAAAAAATATATGAGCTGATCGATCGATAATTTTCAATTTAAAGTTCTCATTTAGGAATGGGAATGGTTCAGAAATCGCATGCTCCTTTGGGAAGAGATGTTAATTGGTTAGATCTGAGTCTGACTCGACAATTGCTACTCTAAAAGTAAAAGTCAATCATGACCACATTCTTATACGATCACGGCCAAGGTATCTTAAGATATAAAAGTAGCTCATTTCTTCGGGGTAATCATCAAAGTGGATTAAAAATTTTTATTGAACACATCCGAAGTACGAATCGGATTCGAGTACAAAAGTTTCGCATTCGGACACAGCAGACTGTATTGTCTGCTATTTCTTTACTTACCTACACTCTAAAACAAACCATAGGAATGCACACCAATTATGAAAATAAGCAATTGGAAAAAATACTGATTTAAAAATAAGTTTGGCTTTTTTTGGCGGGGGTGGAAATTTCCAGAATATCGTATTTAATCACAGCGGAGAGGAAAAGGGTTCATAATGAGCAAAATCGTGATCATGTGACTACTGAAATACATCATATGCATAGTTCGTTCATGTATGGAATCCTTTGATGGGTGTGCGTTCGAGCGCCGGACAAACAATATCTGTTGATCAAGTATAAATAATTATAAAACACTCACAGATAAATCTGCAAGCAGATTTGACGTGGAGTTCAATAGAAAATACCAGATTGTTTCAACGCTTGTTTTAACCTTTGTAGTTTTCTCTCTCCATCGTTTTAAATTAAAATTAACAAAAGTCTGTAGAAAATTGAAGTTTTAACTAGTGTCCAGAAACTTAGAATGATCCATTATTTCTCTTACGGAATATTTTCAAATGAAGAGATATTACAAAAATTTTGCTGCACGACAAATCTTTAGTGAAATTGTCGGCAGTATAAATCACTTTTTTCAATTTATGGTAGTGTTGAGTTGAACAGATTGAACGATAAGATCGATTTCATTGCATGGATATAATTATACAATTTCAATATAATTTATTAAATCATAACTGATTAATAAAATTATAATCGATCATAATAAGACATCGGAGTAATATTACAGTCATACTCTTACACAAGTACTATCGATGAATAACATTACGATAATTGTTTTCAACTAAGATCGAGCGACAGTTTTTATTTTACCTTATCCAATGTTGAGAAATGTTACCATAATTATTTATACCAACGCACATGAGTTAATCATATTTCATGTGCTCGACTAGCTAAAATGTGCTTGATATGATCATTTAGCCAAAAATTACATAGTAAAAGGAGTAGCTTTTACGGTTGATGTGATGTTATACTGATATCTTCTCCTATTAAATATGTAATACCACTTGAATGAATACGAGATAGAATATTATCGTCAAGCAATTTTACAATTTTCTATCTGATGACAATCTTTGCTTCTGTTTCAGTGATAAAAGGTTTGAAACAATGGTCAATATAATACTTTTTTTTTCTAGTCTTGTGTTTATCGGCACTATGTGTACGAAAAGGGCCATTTTATCCAAGGAATATAAAAATCAACTTTTTACTTAAATGTGTCTCTATGAACAATAGACTTTGACAGTTCCAGTTCAACAATTCAGCTGGGATCGCATAAATTGTGGCTGGCCTATCTACAATAATTTCATACCTCATCATTAGTAGTACTTGAACGCCACTAGTATAATCTTTCAAAAAATTGCTCAAACTTTTAGACAAATTCTTGAAACTCGATAGAAAAATAAAACGTGATTAGCTGTTCATACGGTTTTCAAGGGAGTAAAAAAGTTTTTAGCAAATCAGCTCAAACAAATTTTTTACAAATTGTTAGAAAGCATCGAACTTAGTATAAATAATTGTGGCAACATTTCTGATCATTTGATAGAATAAAATAATAAGTATTTCTTGATCTTTGTATTTTGGTGGAACTCACATATACAGGGTGACCCAAAAGTAACCTTATAAGGATTTCTTTTCAACTTTGTTTTCTTTATAGATGCATAGTTCGATCTCATATTTGGACCACATACACCAATTGACAATACTCAGAGAAAGAACCTACGATTAGCCTCTGATTATAAGAATTTGTCGGAAAAAATACGAATATCTTGCATAGTCTCTTATATGCCTCTCACATAAGTTCTAATTGAAGTAATGTCTCTTTTCATTATATCTCATGTTTTGATTAGTTGACTGCGCAACAAGTCTGAAACAATGTAACGATACGTAAAATTTAAGTCATCCTGTACATTTTGATGCAAACAAACCAAAATATAGCAACACAACACAACAAGAAAACTACAAACTTATGTAACAACCATACACGAGTGCCTGTGAAACGTTCATATGTTTATCAACATAAACTTTTAGTCGAAGGCTGATAATAGGCTCTTTTTCTGAGTATTGTCATCTAGTGTATGCGGTCCAAATATGAGATCGAGCTATGCATCTATAAAGAAAACAAAGTTGAAAAGAAATCCTTATAAGGCTACTTTTGGGTCACTCTGTGTTTGCGAAGAAAACTGTGAGTGTAAGTTTTGAGGTGAAGTCTTGTGGCTCTCTCACTACACATAATTAATTAGGCTTGTACTTGCTAATTAGAGAGAAAAGCAATTAGGGCCCTATCTACCACCCTTTCAATGACACACAGTCGGAAGAAAACTAGACCGACCCATTACAGTCACTAGCAACCAATTTAAGGCTCTATTACAGAGGGTGTGAATGGGTGTGTGGGTGTAGACGTTCGTCTTCCGTTCAGTAACATCCACACTCATACGCAAACCCATACCCCGCGTGGATCTTGGTGTGAACGTGCGATTGTGATTGCTGGTGTTGTTTACGACTCATCCACACCTGCACTCATCCCATCCAGTCACAAATCTATTCCTGTTCTGGTGGATTACATTTTTCAAATATTGGCAAAGGTTTTCCATAGTGAGACAGTGGTTCTTGATTGTCATTGCATTTTTGAAGAACATTTTCAATTTGGAAAAGAACTCTTCCAACTGCTGAATGCGATTCGTCCAGCTCCACATGTAATTCAATTAATTTCGTCTGACAGAAATTGAATGCAGCCTCATAATCCTCCATCCCACTGTACCCATTAACGATTGCGATAAATAATCTTGAAACCTTTGAATGGCCAGCTGGTAATGTCTTTTAGAGGATTTTTAGTGCATTAAAGAAATATGAGAGGGCTTTACCATAGTGTTTTTGAAAATAATAAACGCCACCAATGCCGTCGCATTTCAAGTGATTTTGTATGCACGGTTGTAGTAATCTAAGGCAAATGAATGTTGAGATTTTCGCATACAGATCTGTCCCATTTCATTTAACACGTCAGCTTCTTCTAGTGAATCATGCTGGATTGTTGCTAACAATATAACTCGAGATATTTTTCAGCTGTCGTTAGTTGACTCATTTTAATAAAAAGCCATTCAAACACTATTGATATATTCACACCTTCGTATTGTTTCTTTGTCACATCAATATACTCTTGCACATCTTTCATTCGTTCATCTGTAGCAGCCATTTTCACGACCCAGCAGTTCATTTTATTGGAGAACTCCACATTTACAATTTTGAAGACAGTACCGAGACTGAAAAGAACTTCATGGTCACCTTTCACACGAGTGAACTATTCAGCATCAGCAAACACAAATGATTTCATTGTACTATCCGCTGTAATTTCAAATAATACTGATAGTAGTTCGCTACATTTAGCTTTAGCTCGTGTAAGAAAGTCAATAGCAAATTTTTGATGCAGGTTGCTGAGAAGAAGCCGTTTGCGGATATTAAGTTTTCAACACTGAATTTTAGTCTGTTTAACTCTTCTTCAGACATTACTTGTCCTCGATAAAGTGTCATTATTTCAAGAATTTTACGGCTTTCTTCTTCAAGCTGCTTACAGAGATCGATGA